CCTGTACGTGTGCTAGCCTGTACTTGTGCTAGCCTGTACGTGTGCTAGCCTGTACACGTGCTAGTGCTAGCCTGTACGTGTGCTAGCCTGTACGTGTGCTAGCCTGTACACGTGCTAGCCTGTACTTGTGCTAGCCTGTACGTGTGCTAGCCTGTACGTGTGCTAGCCTGTACACGTGCTAGCCTGTACACGTGCTAGCTTGTACACGTGCTAGCCTGTACACGTGCTAGCTTGTACACGTGCTAGCCTGTACACGTGCTAGACTGTACGTGTGCTAGCCTGTACACGCTTCACGTTTCTGTAGATGTGCACTAACAACATCAGGTTGACTGACCTTCTCACAGATCGGGGGGGGGGGGTAAGGGGAGATGAAAGCCTTGTGTACTCTTAGCTCCACCATTGAACGTGTGGTGACCGGGTCACCGTTTATGTCACCAGCTATTTTGGTAAACCGCTGTTGTGCCGTCTGTCTGTGTACACCATAGACCATGTACGGTCAACGTTACAGAGACGATAGTTGGTGTTGTCGAGTGTCAGTCATGGAAAGTTCGTGTGGAATAATTGTGTGTCAATTTGTGATGCATGTCTTGTAGTTGTGGTATAGGGCATAATGTCTTGAGCTAAATGTCAACTGCCCCACTATTGTGTACATGTTTGGATACATACACAATGTCTTGAGCTAAATGTCAACTGCCCCACTATTGTGTACATGTTTGGATACATACACAATGTCTTGAGCTAAATGTCAACTGCCCCACTATTGTGTACATGTTTGGATACATACATAATGTCTTGAGCTAAATGTCAACTGTCCCACCATTGTGTACATGTTTGGATACATACACGTCTTGAGCTAAATGTCAACTGTCCCACTATTGTGTACATGTTTGGATACATACACGTCTTGAGCTAAAGGTCAACTGTCCCACTATTGTGTACATGTTTGGATACATACACGTCTTGAGCTAAATGTCAACTGCCCCACTATTGTGTACATGTTTGGATACATACATAATGTCTTGAGCTAAATGTCAACTGCCCCACTATTGTGTACATGTTTGGATACATACATAATGTCTTGAGCTAAATGTCAACTGCCCCACTATTGTGTACATGTTTGGATACATACACAATGTCTTGAGCTAAATGTCAACTGTCCCACTATTGTGTACATGTTTGGATACATACACAATGTCTTGAGCTAAATGTCAACTGTCCCACTATTGTGTACATGTTTGGATACATACACAGTCTTGAGCTAAATGTCAACTGCCCCACTATTGTGTACATGTTTGGATACATACATAATGTCTTGAGCTAAATGTCAACTGTCCCACTATTGTGTACATGTTTGGATACATACACAATGTCTTGAGCTAAATGTCAACTGTCCCACTATTGTGTACATGTTTGGATACAGACACAATGTCTTGAGCTAAATGTCAACTGTCCCACTATTGTGTACATGTTTGGATACATACACAATGTCTTGAGCTAAATGTCAACTGTCCCACTATTGTGTACATGTTTGGATACATACACGTCTTGAGCTAAATGTCAACTGTCCCACTATTGTGTACATGTTTGGATACAGACACAATGTCTTGAGCTAAATGTCAACTGTCCCACTATTGTGTACATGTTTGGATACATACACGTCTTGAGCTAAATGTCAACTGTCCCACTATTGTGTACATGTTTGGATACATACACGTCTTGAGCTAAATGTCAACTGTCCCACTATTGTGTACATGTTTGGATACATACAAAATGTCTTGAGCTAAATGTCAACTGTCCCACTATTGTGTACATGTTTGGATACATACACAATGTCTTGAGCTAAATGTCAACTGTCCCACTATTGTGTACATGTTTGGATACATACACAATGTCTTGAGCTAAATGTCAACTGCCCCACTATTGTGTACATGTTTGGATACATACACAATGTCTTGAGCTAAATGTCAACTGTCCCACTATTGTGTACATGTTTGGATACAGACACAATGGTAAAAAGGCCAGTATCCTTAAATAAATATAGCTTTTAGGTCACATTAGGCTTTAGGTAACCTAAGGTCAAAGGTGAAATATAAACACCACAAAGTCTTTGTTGTTGTGTGGCCTAAAGACTCAAAAATAAGTTACAAAATAGTGGACCATTATTACAGGATCTGGGCAGTCTAGAATATTATAAGTTCACAGGAGGATTGTGTTGTCCTGTGACCTGTGTTAGATTAATGTCACCTGATTAGTTATAAAGCACACTCACTGAACTAAAGCATTGCTTAGATATATATGATGTAAACATTTTTGTTTTGCTTTGTATCATTAAATCCATAGACGTGTGTATATATATATATATGTATACATATAACACATATGTGTATGCATTTTTGTATGCTTCTATCAATCTGTATTGCTGTATGAAAATATGTGTATATAAAGTGAACACAGTTGTATGATTCTACCCTCTGATGTAATCCTACTACCACCTGAATCACTATGGTCTGGCAGGGAGTAGGACACTCACCCCCCCTCCCCCACTCAGACATTACCACCTGGAGCAATTACACCACCCCTACCCAGCCCAGTTCTGGAGAAGTTGGGGTTAGGGCTAAAGTTAGGGTTAGATGTAGGTTTAGAGTTGGGGTTAGGGCTAAGGTTAGGGTTAGATGTAGGTTTAGAGTTGGGGTTAGGATTGATTTTGGGGTTAGGCTTTTTTAGTATATATAGTTGAGGGGGGGGGGGGGTTATTAACAGGGGTTCATGACTCAGGGTGGGGAGGTAGGGGGGTAAATTGACCTCAGGGGGGGGGGGGTGTAATGTCCTTGCCCCAGTCTCCCTTAGTGTTGAATCATGTATCCTGATGTCTCTGTACAATAAGATGTGCATGGGGCATTAGTTGAGATGGCAGCCCTAAACAATTGAGGTAAACATACCTGGTGATGTGCATGAGGCATTAGTTGAGATGGCAGCCCTAAACAGTTGAGGTAAACATACCTGGTGATGTGCATGGGGCATTAGTTGAGATGTTACTGGCAGCCCTAAACAGTTGAGGTAAACATACCTGGTGATGTGCATGGGGTATTAGTTGAGATGTTACTGGCAGCCCTAAACAGTTGAGGTAAACATACCTGGTGATGTGCATGGGGTATTAGTTGAGATGGCAGCCAATTGAGGTAAACATACCTGGTGATGTGCCCCTGTCACAGGTGAGGGGGGTACTTACTACTAGCACAGCAGCAGATGATGCTGGGCCTGTCACACACTATACAGCACACAATTGAGACATGTTCAACTCATCAATAGAGCTGAACTATCAGCATTGAGCAGGCAATACAGACATGTCCAGGGATAGGCTAATATTATTCAAAAGAAGTAGACCTATTATTATGTTAAGTATTGACATGTTTGTTTTTTATGTTGGTGTGCTTTTAGTTTTACACAACTTGTATTGTTTGATGATTGTCTTTTAAACTTTGAACTTCATTACTAACACATTGATCACATATATTGCGTGTGTAATCATATAAAACAGTTTCCTTTTTAAAACATTGCCCTGCTAACATGGTATAACTAATGTAAGCTGTACTGGGCTCCCTAATACTGTAAAACACTAATAATTGGATTCCCTCTTTTATTACTGTAGAAAACTAACATGGGCATAACTAATAAGCAGAACTAGATACCCTGAAACTTTAAAACACCTAAAACTGTAAAACACTAATAATTGATTTGCCTGTGTTATTGCTGTAAAACTCTAAGGCTTTAAACAACAACAAAGTAGTTACAATTTTCTTATCTTTGTTTTTCATTGTTTTTTTTTTATAAATAAAATGTTATGATATATGTCTATTGTTTGTATTTACCTTGCTCTTGATAGTGGATATAAAAATTGCTTTTAGTCTTTTAAAAATGGCATCTGAAATAGCCTTTTAGTTAATTTTTAAATTGATCACACTTTTTAAAAATCACTTACAAATATTAAATGTTAGCCTTTTAAATGTCTAAAACTAAAATGGAGTTACACTTCCATACTTCTAAATTAAGTCTTAAATCAGAGAACAATTAAGGTTAATAGGTGTGTCAAGCTTGCTTTTTACTTTCTCGTATTCAAAGTATAGAGGAAGTATTAATGGACATACAACAACTTGCTGTATTTCACATAAGAGCTGTAGGTATTACATCACAGAAGAGGCTCTCTTCACAGGATGATCTACTCCCTGTCTCCATTGAATGCAGTGTTTTATTCTACCTTTGTTTAAATCTCTTTGTAATAAACTTAGCCTGTACGTACTCAACACATCCTGCATGTGCTGCAACAGATGTGCTCAATGTGTCAGGCCAGTTATGTGCTTCACTGTTTGTGTATCAAGCTTTCTGAGAGTCATGATGGGAAGTAGACTGAATGGGGGGGGGGGAGAGAATGATGAAGACTCTGTCCCCAGAAGAGATGCCTGGAAGAAACTGCTTTCTGTTAGGTCTTATTTTCAGTAGATCTTGTTATTAGTGGGTGATTGTTTGATGGGGTTTAAGTCTCAGTAGGTCTTAGGTGTGTCCACCTGTCTGGCCAATGTGCTCTAACAGCTTGTGTCCACCTGTCTGGCCAATGTGCTCTAACAGCTTGTGTCCACCTGTCTGGCCAATGTGCTCTAACAGCTTGTGTCTACCTGTCTGGCCAATGTGCTCTAACAGCTTGTGTCCACCTGTCTGGCCAATGTGCTCTAACAGCTTGTGTCTACCTGTCTGGCCAATGTGCTCTAACAACTTGTGTCCACCTGTCTGGCCAATGTGCTCTAACAGCTTGTGTCCACCTGTCTGGCCAATGTGCTCTAACAGCTTGTGTCCACCTGTCTGGCCAATGTGCTCTAACAGCTTGTGTCTACCTGTCTGGCCAATGTGCTCTAACAGCTTGTGTCCACCTGTCTGGCCAATGTGCTCTAACAGCTTGTGTCCACCTGTCTGGCCAATGTGCTCTAACAGCTTGTGTTTTCTGTCAGGGCACCCTGAGGATGGAGAGCCTGGTGAAGCAGAGTCTTTTGTGGATGAGGTCGTGGTCATTGAGAGGCCCATCTACACCCAGAAGGAGTTTGACCAGGTAATCCACTCCGGCTCATCACATTCTCTTAATGATTGTAATTAATGAACCAATTGTGTTTTTGATTTGACATGATCTTGTGTCCATTGAATGGCTAGGGTTTTGAAGGAGGACAGAGACCTAAGCACACCCCACTCACCTACATCAGGTCACAGGTCAGGAAGTGTGAGTGCTCATTTGCGTGTGTCCGCAGATCTGTTGCTCACAAGTTGCCATTCCTGGCCATCATGAGAGATTATAATTTCAAGACGGATCTAATAGCAGATGCCATAGCTGGATTAACTGTGGGCATCATGCACATCCCTCAAGGTAACTTGTTCCCCCTCCTATGTTGGGTTCACACAAAACATATACCATCTTGTTGGTTGTATTTTAGTAGGCTAATGGATAATTTACAAAAGTTACATGCATATGTTGTAACCCTGAAACCATGTTCTCGTAGGTATGGCCTATGGTCAGTTGTCCACGCTGCCACCAGTATTTGGACTCTATGTGTCCTTCTTCCCAGTGATACTTTATTTTTTCTTCGGCTCTTCCAAACATGTTTCTATTGGTGAGTAGTTAAATGGATGGCAAGTTTTTGTGTTTAAAACATTGGTGAGTAGTTAAATGGATGATGTAGCTGGTAGAAAGATGAATACCTGAGCTGATGATGTGTGGATATAGGGATGTTCATTTTTATCTGGCTGTTGTGTTTGGTTCAGATGTTTCAGAGAGAGACACGCAACATTTGTCTAAAACTGTTCCCCTCACTACACAGGTACATTTGCTGTAGTGTCTCTGATGGTTGGTTCAACAGTTGATAAAGGGATGAAGGCGCGTAGCTTGGTCCCCGAGGTCTACAACAAAACTATAGACGCTGGTGGTGGGAACATGACTTATGAGCTGTCTGATAATTCAGAGGAAATTCTCAATGTCAAACTGATGTTGGCGATGTCAGTCACCTTTGCTGTGGGTGTACTTCAGGTAAACAGTTGGGTGTAGTATGTAGGTGTAGTGTAGGTAAACAAATGTAGTTGTACAGTATATAGGTGTACTTCAGGTAAAAAGTTGGGTGTAGTATGTAGGTGTACTGTAGGTAAACAGTTGGGTGCTGCATGTAGGTGTACTGTAGGTAAACAGTTAGGTGCTGCATGTAGGTGTACTGTAGGTAAACAGTTGGGTGCTGTATGTAGGTGTAGTGTAGGTAAACAGTTGGGCGCTGTATGTAGGTGTAGTGCAGGTAAACAGTTGGGTGCTGTATGTAGGTGTACTGTAGCTAAACAATTGTAGTAGTGTAGTATGTAAGTGTAGTGTAGGTAAACAGTTGGGTGCAGTATGTAGGCGTATTTAAAAAGCTTATGTTTTCAGATTCTGCTGGGAGTGTTTCGCCTGGGTTTCCTGACAGTTTATCTGTCTGACCCTCTGATCAGTGGCTTTACAACAGGGGCAGCCATCCATGTCTTCACCAGCCAGATCAAACACATCTTTGGCATCTCCACTGGGAGGTACAGCGGAGCCTTCAAGCTGGTCTATGTGAGTCCTCATCTAACTCTTTCTCATATTTCCTGGTTTCTATGGGGGGCTCAGTATTGTTACTACAGGGGGCATTACTGCTAGTGCTGGGGAGATAACTGCTGTTGCACAAGGGGAACTAAATGTTATTTTAAGTTCCTATTCTATAGGAAATGGCCACTGTAACAGTTGCCTGATCTGGGAGCTGTATTTACTCCTGATGTTAATTAAGGCTCCTCTAACAGCCTGTATTACCTACCTTCCAGACCTACTACGACATCTTTAAAAACCTGCCCGACACAAATGCAGTGACTTTCATTGCTTCTATTGTGTGCATGATTCTGCTGTGGGTGGTCAAGGAATACATCAATGGCAACCCCAAGATCAAGCCCAAGCTCAAGATGCCAATTCCAACTGAACTCATTGTTGTGAGTGCCTCATATGTTTTTTCCAATAGCTTTTAGTACAGCCATGTTGTGAAATGATTGCCACCAGTTGGATCCTAACTCTTGCCATCTCCCCATTCAGGTTGCGCTAGGGACTGTGATATCTTACTTTGTTAAGCTTGAGGAAACTTATAAAGTGAAAACTGTTGGGGATATACCTGTAGGGTAAGTTGTTTTTTCTTTGAAACAAACTGCTGTTGGACATGAAATAGTTTTACTACCAAAACAACAGGCATTTCCTTGAAATAAAGAAACATTTTTAATGTTTACATTTTCTTTACTAATAGTGGCCTCCTTAGATTTCATCCTTCCCTGTTATGGCAAGGCAGACAAATCTCACTTTGATGTAACAGAGTAGTTTCCCTTAAACCTGAATAAGTTTTTTCAACCTCATGAAAGAACTGTTAAAAGGAATGAAAATGTTTTTTATAATGAAATCATTATAGGCTGTTTTATAGATTACATTTTTAAACTAATAAAAAATGGCTCAAAATGCTTTCATACAACTATTGCGCTGCTAACGGAAATTAATTGGATTTAAAAAAAGATTAATTCAGGTTATTCTAAAATAGGCCATTATACTGTTTTAATTTTCTGAACCATGTCAAGTGTCCATATGGCAGGTTTTTTAAAATGTAAGTTTACCTTGATCCTCAGCCATCTTTTGTGAGCTTGATCTGTTCTACTGATAGAAAAACTTGACCAAACTAACCAACACTGACATAGAAAGTTTATCTTGATCCTAAGTCATCTTTTGTGAGCTTGATCTGTTCTACTGGTAGAAAAACTTGATCAAACTAACCAGCACTGACATATAAAGTTTATCTTTCAGAATTCCAGCTCCCAACCTGAATGCTTTCACCTGCCTGTCAGAAGTGATAGCTGACTCTATAGCCATCGCCATTGTGTCATTTGCCATCTCAGTTTCCATGGCCAAGATCTTTGCTAAAAAACATGACTACGCTGTAGACTCTAACCAGGTCTGTTGTGTTGTATGATAGTAACTCACTGTATGCTCATATCTATGTGTGCTGATATAGCCCTAATTTGTTCATTTAAACTGTTCAATGAAAATAAGATGTTTTTGATCCGACCAATGAAAAAAATGTATTTGAACTGACCAATAATAAAACAAATATTAAAAAACCTCTACAGCAACAATCTTTTAAATGCACTGAAAATAAGAAAATAAAACTAATTTGTTTTCTTTCATAAAAGCTGTTGTGGCTAAAATATGTAAAAGATCTCATGAGCGACCAAAGCTTTTATGAAAGAAAGCAGATTAGTTTTATTTTCTATTTTCAATGCATTTAAAAGTTTGTTGTTATAGTTTTTTTAATATTTGTTTTATTTCCTACTTTTTAGTAATTCCTTAATTTATGAAGTCAACATGACTAAAAATATTTGCTTTAAAACACCATTATCTGCCCCATTTTTAACAGACCACAATAAGTTCTTGTTTACCTCCCCTTTATAATAGCCTTCACTAGAGCGACCGGCTCTAAGATTTTAAACATTCTGGTGAACCACAGCTAGTTATCTCCCCTTCTTTTATTGAATATAGTAATCTAACTAGTTATTTAATTTTGTTATCTCCCCTTAATTTCAAAACGTTTAATTCGTTTTTAATGACTAATTAAAAATGAAATAAATTTTTAAAAAGCTAGCCTTGCATTTTCATCGGAGTGGAACATATTTGAAAAGTTTGAACAAAATTGCTCCATTAGAAGTGGAGTTACATTTCGAACTAAATAAAAGCTTGTAAAAAAAGAAAAATATTTGAACTGACCAAAGAAAAAAAAATGTATTTGAACTGACCAGTGAAAAAAATGTATTTGAACTGACCAGTGAAAAAAATATATTTGAGCTGACCAGTGAAAAAAATGTATTTGAACTGACCAGTGAAAAAAATGTATTTGAGCTGACCAGTGAAAAAAATGTATTTGAACTGACCAGTGAAAAAAATGTTTTGAGCTGACCAGTGAAAAAACTGTATTTGAACTGACCAGTGAAAAAAATGTATTTGAGCTGACCAGTGAAAAAAATGTATTTGAACTGACCAGTGAAAAAAATGTTTTGAGCTGACGAGTGAAAAAACTGTATTTGAACTGACGAGTGAAAAAACTGTATTTGAACTGACCAGTGAAAAAAATGTATTTGAGCTGACCAGTGAAAAAAATGTATTTGAGCTGACCAGTGAAAAAAATGTATTTGAGCTGACCAGTGAAAAAAATGTATTTGAGCTGACCAGTGAAAAAAATGTATTTGAGCTGACCATCTAAAACTTGTGCAGGAACTCCTGGCCTATGGGACCTGCAATGTTGTCTCCTCCTTCTTCTCATCATTTGTGTCCACTGTGTCGCTGTCCAGGAGTTTGGTGCAGGAGAATGTTGGTGGGAGAACTCAGGTATGTTGGTCACTTGCTGACCTTTTGACCTTAAACTCAGGTATGTTGGTCAGTTGCTGACCTTTTGACCTTAAACTCAGTTATGTTGGTCAGTTGCTGACCTTTTGACCTTAAACTCAGGTATGTTGGTCAGTTGCTGACCTTTTGACCTTAAACTCAGTTATGTTGGTCAGTTGCTGACCTTTTGACCTTAAACACAGGTATGTTGGTCAGTTGCTGACCTTTTGACCTTAAACTTAGTTATGTTGGTCAGTTGCTGACCTTTTGACCTTGAACTTAGTTATGTTGGTCAGTTGCTGACCTTTTGACCTTGAACTCGGGTATGTTGGTCAGTTGCTGACCTTAATACAGTCACCAAATGACCATGACAGTTACCAAATGACCATGACAGTCACCAAATGACCATGACAGTCACCAAATGACAATGACAGTTACCAAATGACAATGACAGTTACCAAATGACAATGACAGTCACCAAATGACAATGACAGTTACCAAATGACAATGACAGTCACCAAATGACAATGACAGTCACCAAATGACAATGACAGTCACCAAATGACAATGACAGTTACCAAATGACAATGACAGTCACCAAATGACAATGACAGTCACCAAATGACAATGACAGTCACCAAATGACCATGACAGTTACCAAATGACCATGACAGTCACCAAATGACCATGACAGTCACCAAATGACCATGACAGTCACCAAATGACCATGACAGTCACCAAATGACCATCACAGTCACCAAATGACCATGACAGTCACCAAATGACCATGACAGTTACCAAATGACAATGACAGTTACCAAATGACAATGACAGTTACCAAATGACAATGACAGTTACCAAATGACAATGACAGTTACCAAATGACCATGACAGTCACCAAATGACCATGACAGTCACCAAATGACCATGACAGTTACCAAATGACAATGACAGTTACCAAATGACAATGACAGTCACCAAATGACAATGACAGTTACCAAATGACAATGACAGTTACCAAATGACAATGACAGTCACCAAATGACCATGACAGTCACCAAATGACCATGACAGTCACCAAATGACCATGACAGTTACCAAATGACCATGACAGTCACCAAATGACCATGACAGTCACCAAATGACAATGACAGTTACCAAATGACCATGACAGTTACCAAATGACCATGACAGTCACCAAATGACCATGACAGTCACCAAATGACCATGACAGTCACCAAATGACCATCACAGTCACCAAATGACCATGACAGTCACCAAATGACCATGACAGTCACCAAATGACCATCACAGTCACCAAATGACCATGACAGTCACCAAATGACCATGACAGTTACCAAATGACCATGACAGTTACCAGATGACAATGACAGTCACCAAATGACAATGACAGTTACCAAATGACAATGACAGTTACCAAATGACAATGACAGTCACCAAATGACAATGACAGTCACCAAATGACAATGACAGTCACCAAATGACAATGACAGTTACCAAATGACCATGACAGTCACCAAATGACCATGACAGTCACCAAATGACCATGACAGTCACCAAATGACCATCACAGTCACCAAATGACCATGACAGTCACCAAATGACCATGACAGTCACCAAATGACCATCACAGTCACCAAATGACCATCACAGTCACCAAATGACCATGACAGTCACCAAATGACCATGACAGTCACCAAATGAACATATAGCACATAAAATGATTATGTTAGTCACCAAATGACCAAAGAGCAGATGAAATGACCATTGTGCACATGAAATGACCATATAGCACATGAAATGACCATATAGCAGATGAAATGACCATATAGCAGATGAAATGACCATGTTGATGTCTGTTGTACAGGTGACTGGGCTGGTGTCCAGTGCTTTGCTGTTGGTTGTCCTGCTGGTAATTGGCCCGTACTTTAAAACTTTGCCCAATGTGAGTTATTGTTGCACTTCTAGTTGATAGAAAACCTTCAATGTGAGTTACTGTTGCACTTCTAGTTGATTGAAAACCTTCAAATTTGATATCTACTTATGTAGGTTGAAATCAATCATTGAATTAAATAACATTATCAATTTAAATTAAATGTAATCAATCATAATGTTTCATTATTTTATCATGTTTTTTGACATGTAATTAAGTGTTATATCATATACTGTGACATGTGTTTCAGTGTGTTTTAGCCTCCATTATTCTGGTGGCACTCAAGGGTATGTTCATGCAGTTCCTGGAACTGAAGACTCTCTGGGGAATCTCTATGATAGATTTTGTAAGTAGCTCATTGTGCATATTTCATTCTAAATCATTTGTTTTAATGTACACTATATGCTTGTAAAACCTTATGTGTTTTACTGTAAACTATTAGCTTGTAAAACATTGTCATGTGTTTCTGTACACTATATGCTTCTAAAACCTTATGTGTTTTACTGTACACTGTATGCTTGTAAAACATTGTCATGTGTTTTACTGTACACTATTTGCTTGTAAAACCTTATGTGTTTTACTGTACACTATTTGCTTGTAAAACCTTATGTGTTTTACTGTACACTATTTGCTTGTAAATCCTTATGTGTTTTACTGTACACTATATGCTTGTAAAACCATATGTGTTTTACTGTACACTATATGCTTGTAAAACCTAATGTGTTTTATTGTTCACTATATGCTTGTAAAACCATATATTTTACTGTACACTATATGCTTGTAAAACCTTATATTTTACTGTACACTATATGCTTGTAAAACTTTATATTTTACTGTACACTATATGCTTGTAAAACCTTATATTTTACTGTACACTATATGCTTGTAAAACCTTATGTGTTTTACTGTATACTATATGCTTGTAAAACGTTATGTGTTTTACTGTAGACTATATGCTTGTAAAACCTTATGTGTTTTACTGTAGACTATATGCTTGTAAAACCTTATGTGTTTTACTGTAGACTGTATGCTTGTAAAACCTTATGTGTTTTACTGTAGACTATATGCTTGTAAAACCTTATATTTTACTGTACACTATATGACTGTAAAACCTTATATGTTTTACTGTACACTGTATGCTTGTAAAACCTTATATTTTACTGTACACTATATGCTTGTAAAACCTTATGTTTTTTACTGTACACTGTATGCTTGTAAAACCTTATGTGTTTTACTGTACACTATATGCTTGTAAAACCTTATGTGTTTTACTGTACACTATATGCTTGTAAAACCTTATGTGTTTTACTGTACACTGTATGCTTGTAAAACCTTATGTGTTGTACTGTAGACTATATGCTTGTAAAACCTTAAGTGTTTTACTGTACACTATATGCCTGTAAAACCTTATGTTTTACTGTACACTGTATGCTTGTAAAACCTTATATTTTACTGTACACTGTATGCTTGTAAAACCTTATGTTTTTTACTGTACACTGTATGCTTGTAAAACCTTATGTGTTTTACTGCACACTATATGCTTGTAAAACCTTATGTGTTTTACTGTACACTGTATGCTTGTAAAACCTTATATTTTACTGTACACAGTATGCTTGTAAAACCTTATATTTTACTGTAGACTATATGCTTGTAAAACCTTATGTGTTTTACTGTACACTATATGCTTGTAAAACCTTATGTGTTTTACTGTACACTATATGCTTGTAAAACCTTATGTGTTTTACTTGAGACAGGCCACCTGGCTGATCACATTTTGCGCAACAGTTTTTCTTGATGTTGATCTGGGTTTGCTTGTTGGTGTGGTGTTTGCCCTCTTGACCGTCATCATGAAATCTCAAAGGTCAGTCTGCTATTGGTCAGTATGGTCTCCACAGTCTAGGAGTGGTGAACCAATTATATTCTATCCTACTCCTTAGCCCAACATAATGGCCTGATATCCCAGTCCTTAACCCAACATAATGACCTGATATCCCAGTCCTTAACCCAACATAATGGTCTGATATCTACACTAACCCCAGTCCTTAACCCAACATAATGGCCTGATATCTACACTAACCCCAGTCCTTAACCCAACATAATGACCTGATATCTAGACTTACCCCAGTCCTTAGCCCAACATAATGGCCTGATATCTACACTAACCCCAGTCCTTAACCCAACATAATGACCTGATATCTACACTAACCCCAGTCCTTAGCCCAACATAATGGCCTGATATCTACACTAACCCCAGTCCTTAACCCAACATAATGACCTGATATCTACACTAACCCCAGTCCTTAACCCAACATAATGACCTGATATCTAGACTTACCCCAGTCCTTAACCCAACATAATGACCTGATATCTACACTAACCCCAGTCCTTAACCCAACATAATGGCCTGATATCTAGACTTACCCCAGTCCTTAACCCAACATAATGGCCTGATATCTAGACTTACCCCAGTCCTTAGCCCAACATAATGACCTGATATCTACACTAACCCCAGTCCTTAACCCAACATAATGGCCTGATATCTACACTAACCCCAGTCCTTAGCCCAACATAATGGCCTGATATCTACACTAACCCCAGTCCTTAGCCCAACATAATGGCCTGATATCTACACTAACCCCAGTCCTTAGCCCAACATAATGACCTGATATCTAGACTTACCCCAGTCCTTAACCCAACATAATGGCCTGATATCTACACTAACCCCAGTCCTTAACCCAACATAATGGCCTGATATCTACACTTACCCCAGTCCTTAGCCCAACATAATGGCCTGATATCTACACTAACCCCAGTCCTTAGCCCAACATAATGGCCTGATATCTACACTAACCCCAGTCCTTAACCCAACATAATGGCCTGATATCTACACTAACCCCAGTCCTTAACCCAACATAATGACCTGATATCTACACTAACCCCAGTCCTTAACCCAACATAATGACCTGATATCTACACTAACCCCAGTCCTTAGCCCAACATAATGGCCTGATATCCCAGTCCTTAACCCAACATAATGGCCTGATATCTACACTAACCCCAGTCCTTAACCCAACATAATGACCTGATATCTACACTAACCCCAGTCCTTAACCCAACATAATGACCTGATATCTACACTAACCCCAGTCCTTAGCCCAACATAATGACCTGATATCCCAGTCCTTAACCCAACATAATGGCCTGATATGTACACTAACCCCAGTCCTTAACCCAACATAATGGCCTGATATCTACACTAACCCCAGTCCTTAACCCAACATAATGACCTGATATCCCAGTCCTTAACCCAACATAATGACCTGATATCTACACTAACCCCAGTCCTTAACCCAACATAATGACCTGATATCTACACTAACCCCAGTCCTTAACCCAACATAATGGCCTGATATCCCAGTCCTTAACCCAACATAATGGCCTGATATGTACACTAACCCCAGTCCTTAACCCAACATAATGGCCTGATATCTACACTAACCCCAGTCCTTAACCCAACATAATGACCTGATATCCCAGTCCTTAACCCAACATAATGACCTGATATCTACACTAACCCCAGTCCTTAACCCAACATAATGACCTGATATCTACACTAACCCCAGTCCTTAGCCCAACATAATGGCCTGATATCTACACTAACCCCAGTCCTTAACCCAACATAATGACCTGATATCCCAGTCCTTAACCCAACATAATGACCTGATATCTACACTAACCCCAGTCCTTAACCCAACATAATGGCCTGATATCTACACTAACCCCAGTCCTTAACCCAACATAATGGCCTGATATCTACACTAACCCCAGTCCTTAACCCAACATAATGGCCTGATATCTACACTAACCCCAGTCCTTAACCCAACATAATGGCCTGATATCTACACTAACCCCAGTCCTTAACCCAACATAATGGCCTGATATCTACACTAACCCCAGTCCTTAGCCCAACATAATGGCCTGATATCTACACTAACCCCAGTCCTTAACCCAACATAATGGCCTGATATCTACACTAACCCCAGTCCTTAGCCCAACATAATGGCCTGATATCTACACTAACCCCAGTCCTTAACCCAACATAATGACCTGATATCTACACTAACCCCAGTCCTTAGCCCAACATAATGGCCTGATATCTACACTAACCCCAGTCCTTAACCCAACATAATGACCTGATATCTACACTAACCCCAGTCCTTAACCCAACATAATGACCTGATATCTACACTAACCCCAGTCCTAACAGAGTTATCTGATATTTACCTGAGCCTAACAGTTGTGTGAAACATTTCAGGCCGTATGCTTGCCTGCTGGGTCAAGTGCCTGGCACAGACATCTACAGGGATCTGTCAGTCTATAAAACTGTGAGTCTCTACCCTGCCATCTTTTACTTTATATTCTAAAGGCATCAAGTAGTTACTGAATCTAAGAGTTAATGAAATGAGCTAAGATGTGCTGTAACTAGACTTGAACACTTGTGCTTGCAGGCTGAAGAGGTTCCTAACATCAAAATCTTCCGCTTTGATTGCCCCATCTTCTTTGCCAACTCTGAGTTTTTCAAAAGTACACTTTATAAGCATACAGTGGATCCATATGTCTTAAAGAAGATGCAGAAAAAAATTAACAAGAAGAAGAAGAAAGATGAGAAACACTTGCTAAATATCACAGTGGTAAGTCAGTAATGGCTGGGTCATATTTATTTCATAGCTCAGTTTTAATTAATTAACTGCTGCTTAGGTTCTATTATTGCTAGTTCATACTGCATCACACAGTTCTAAACAATGCCCCTTTACCCACACACAAAATTTCAATGCAAAAAAATTATATTACTAGATCACATTTATTTCAATGCGACATATTTTAAATATGCCGATTTTAACTGTAAGTAGATATTTTATGACCTTACATCAATGATGAACTAGACATTCTATGAACCTTACATTAATGAAGATAGACATTCTATGAACCTTACATAAAGGGTAAACTAGACATTATAAAACTTATACAAAGGATGAACTAGACATTCTGTAAACCTTACATTAGTGATGATAGACATTCTATGAACCTTACACGAATGAAGGTAGACATTCTATGAACCTTACATTAGTTATGATAGACATTCTATGAATGCTGATGAACTAGACATTCTATGAATGCTGATGAACTAGACATTCTATGAATGCTGATGAACTAGACATTCTATGAATGCTGATGAACTAGACATTCTATGAATGCTGATGAACTAGACATTCTATGAATGCTGATGAACTAGACATTCTATGAATGCTGATGAACTAGACATTCTATGAATGCTGATGAACTAGACATTCTATGAATGCTGATGAACTAGACATTCTATGAATGCTGATGAACTAGACATTCTATGAATGCTGATGAACTAGACATTCTATGAATGCTGATGAACTAGACATTCTATGAATGCTGATGAACTAGACATTCTATGAATGCTGATGAACTAGACATTCTGTAAACTGATGAACTTGTTCCTCCAGGACTCTGTAGGAAGTGCTGACATCCAGACCACTGAGATAGACAGCACTCCCAATGGTCCTCTGTCCACTAGTGTTGACCCTAGTAAAAAACTGGACAGCCCCACAGCGCCCAAAGGCTTGCCTGACCCTCACTTCATCAGCCAAGCCCCAACACTGACCGACATCCACTACATCATCATCGACTGCGCTACCATGAGCTACGTCGACTCCATGGGGGTCAAGGTCTTACAACAGGTAATCAGATCCCACCAGAGTGGAACACCAGATGGCTTTTAATATTGGCTAGCAGTCTCCTGACAGTTTTGTCCAGATCATTACATTTTTCAATCTTTTATTACAGAGGCTTGTTACGTTACCCATTAGTTTTGTATTGTATTGTGTCCACCTGATTCATTAACTTTGAGATTATTTTGTGTGCAGGTGATTAGTGAGTTCAGGGCTTTCAACATCACAGTCTATCTGGCACAGTGTAAATGTAAGTCTTTCTGTTTGTCAACATGTGTCCTTTAGTGTCTAGCTATAATCATGTATGATGTTTGCCTGTTACAGCTGTCCTTTAGTGTCTAGCTATAATCATGTCTGATGTTTGTTACAGCTGTCCTTTAGTGTCTAGCTATAATCATGTCTGATGTTTGTTACAGCTGTCCTTTAGTGTCTAGCTATAATCATGTATGATGTTTGCCTGTTACAGCTGTCCTTTAGTGTCTAGCTATAATCATGTCTGATGTTTGTTACAGCTGTCCTTTAGTGTCTAGCTATAATCATGTCTGATGTTTGCCTGTTACAGCTGTCCTTTAGTGTCTAGCTATAATCATGTCTGATGTTTGTTACAGCTGTCCTTTAGTGTCTAGCTATAATCATGTCTGATGTTTGCCTGTTACAGCTGTCCTTTAGTGTCTAGTTATAATATAAAATCATATATATAATTTCCTGTTACAGCTGTCCTTTAGTGTCTAGTTATAATATAAAATCATATATATAATTTCCTGTTACAGCTGTCCTTTAGTGTCTAGTTATAATATAAAATCATATATATAATTGCCTGTTACAGCTGTCCTTTAGTGTCTAGCTATAATCATGTCTGATGTTTGCCTGTTACAGCTGTCCTTTAGTGTCTGGCTATAATCATGTCTGATGTTTGTTACAGCTGTCCTTTAGTGTCTAGCTATAATCATGTCTGATGTTTGCCTGTTATAGCTGTCCTTTAGTGTCTAGCTATAATCATGTCTGATGTTTGCCTATTACAGCTGTCCTTTAGTGTCTAGCTATAATCATGTCTGATGTTTGCCTATTACAGCTGTCCTTTAGTGTCTAGCTATAATCATGTCTGATGTTTGTTACAGCTGTCCTTTAGTGTCTAGCTATAATCATGTCTGATGTTTGCCTGTTACAGCTGTCCTTTAGTGTCTAGCTATAATCATGTCTGATGTTTGCCTGTTACAGCTGTCCTTTAGTGTCTAGCTATAATCATGTCTGATGTTTGTTACAGCTGTCCTTTAGTGTCTAGCTATAATCATGTCTGATGTTTGCCTGTTACAGCTGTCCTTTAGTGTCTAGTTATAATCATGTCTGATGTTTGCCTGTTACAGCTGTCCTTTAGTGTCTAGCTATAATCATGTCTGATGTTTGTTACAGCTGTCCTTTAGTGTCTAGCTATAATCATGTCTGATGTTTGCCTGTTACAGCTGTCCTTTAGTGTCTAGCTATAATCATGTCTGATGTTTGTTACAGCTGTCCTTTAGTGTCTAGCTATAATCATGTCTGATGTTTGCCTGTTACAGCTGTCCTTTAGTGTCTAGCTATAATCATGTCTGATGTTTGTTACAGCTGTCCTTTAGTGTCTAGCTATAATCATGTCTGATGTTTGCCTGTTACAGCTGTCCTTTAGTGTCTAGCTATAATCATGTCTGATGTTTGCCTGTTACAGCTGTCCTTTAGTGTCTAGCTATAATCATGTCTGATGTTTGTTACAGCTGTCCTTTAGTGTCTAGCTATAATCAAGTCTGATGTTTGTTACAGCTGTCCTTTAGTGTCTAGCTATAATCATGTCTGATGTTTGCCTGTTACAGCTGTCCTTTAGTGTCTAGCTATAATCATGTCTGATGTTTGTTACAGCTGTCCTTTAGTGTCTAGCTATAATCATGTCTGATGTTTGCCTGTTACAGCTGTCCTTTAGTGTCTAGCTATAATCATGTCTGATGTTTGTTACAGCTGTCCTTTAGTGTCTAGCTATAATCATGTCTGATGTTTGCCTGTTACAGCTGTCCTTTAGTGTCTAGCTATAATCATGTCTGATGTTTGTTACAGCTGTCCTTTAGTGTCTAGCTATAATCATGTCTGATGTTTGTTACATCTGTCCTTTAGTGTCTAGCTATAATCATGTCTGATGTTTGTTACAGCTGTCCTTTAGTGTCTAGCTATAATCATGTCTGATGTTTGCCTGTTACAGCTGTCCTTTAGTGTCTAGCTATAATCATGTCTGATGTTTGTTACAGCTGTCCTTTAGTGTCTAGCTATAATCATGTCTGATGTTTGCCTGTTACAGCTGTCCTTTAGTGTCTAGCTATAATCATGTCTGATGTTTGTTACAGCTGTCCTTTAGTGTCTAGCTATAATCATGTCTGATGTTTGTTACAGCTGTCCTTTAGTGTCTGGCTATAATCATGTCTGATGTTTGTTACAGCTGTCCTTTAGTGTCTAGCTATAATCATGTCTGATGTTTGCCTGTTACAGCTGTCCTTTAGTGTCTAGCTATAATCATGTCTGATGTTTGTTACAGCTGTCCTTTAGTGTCTAGCTATAATCATGTCTGATGTTTGTTACAGCTGTCCTTTAGTGTCTGGCTATAATCATGTCTGATGTTTGTTACAGCTGTCCTTTAGTGTCTAGCTATAATCATGTCTGATGTTTGTTACAGCTGTCCTATAGTGTCTGGCTATAATCATGTCTGATGTTTGTTACAGCTGTCCTTTAGTGTCTAGCTATAATCATGTCTGATGTTTGTTACAGCTGTCCTTTAGTGTCTGGCTATAATCATGTCTGATGTTTGTTACAGCTGTCCTTTAGTGTCTAGCTATAATCATGTCTGATGTTTGTTACAGCTGTCCTTTAGTGTCTGGCTATAATCATGTCTGATGTTTGTTACAGCTGTCCTTTAGTGTCTAGTTATAATATAAAATCATATATAAAATTGCCTGTTACAGCCAGTGTGAGGGAGATGTTTGAGTGCACAAATTTCTACAAAACTGCCAGCAAAAATTACATGTTTTTAACTATACATGATGCAGTGGTCAGTGCCCAGCTCCACCACTGGTCAGTCACTGGGGTAAGTCATGCTTGATCAGTTTTCTTGGAACTGGTGGGGAGAGCATGGTCTGGGTGTAGAGCTGATGACTGCTTATGTCAAAGTCCTGAGTTTGGTCCCCGGACCTCCCAGGTAGGTTCATGAGTTGGGAGAGAAAACATCTGCTGCCTTGCAGAATCTTCTCAGATGGACAAAGCTATTGAACCTAATCCAGAAAGAAAAGCAGGCTGAGTCAACTGGCCAAATAGCCCACAACATTGTGACGCTTAAAACTTATTTATGTTGGAGGAAATCCCCTACGCTGCAGCAGTTAAGAAAGATTGAGGGAGCGTGTGGGGATTATAAGTGTAACCATAGCAACCAGGTGAGTGTCTAGATGCCCTGAGAAGGTAGGTTGTCACTGTAACTATAGCAACCAGGTGAGTGTCTAGATGCCCTGAGAAGGTAGGTTGTCACTGTAACCATAGCAACCAGGTGAGTGTCTAGATGCCCTGAGAAGGTAGGTTGTCACTGTAACCATAGCAACCAGGTGAGTGTCTAGATGCCCTGAGAAGGTAGGTTGTCGCTATAACCATAGCAACCAGGTGATTCCCATGTCAACTGATGTTTGTCTTGTGTTGATCCAGGAAAACCCAGGCCACCTGAGCAATAACAACAACACAGCACTGACAGACACAGCCCAGACAGAGGAGGAGACAGACAAGACAGATGAGGAGACAGACAAGACAGATGAGGAGACAGAGGAGTTGTCTGAGGAGGTGGTTGTTAGCTCCAGGACAGCTGCACTGGACAATCATGTCCAGGTGCTGGAGAGGACGCATGTTTGAGGGAATCTTTCACGGGGGACATTTTGTCTGGGGCTGTACCGGGGACATTTTGTCTAGGGCTGTACAGGGGACATTTTGTCTGGGGCTGTACAGGGGACATTTTGTCTGGGGCTGTACAGGGGACATTTTGTCTGGGGCTGTACAGGGGACATTTTGTCTGGGGCTGTACAGGGGACATTTTGTCTGGGGCTGTACAGGGGACATTTTGTCTGGGGCTGTACAGGGGACATTTTGTCTGGGGCTGTACAGGGGACATTTTGTCTGGGGCTGTACAGGGGACATTTTGTCTGGGGCTGTACAGGGGACATTTTGTCTGGGGCTGTACAGGGGACATTTTGTCTGGGGCTGTACAGGGGACATTTTGTCTGGGGCTGTACAGGGGACATTTTGTCTGGGGCTGTACAGGGGACATTTTGTCTGGGGCTGTACAGGGGACATTTTGTCTGGGGCTGTACAGGGGACATTTTGTCTGGGGCTGTACAGGGGACATTTTGTCTGGGGCTGTACAGGGGACATTTTGTCTGCCGGGGGAAGTACCCCTCCCGTCATACAGCACAGCTCATAAGATTTGAGTTGTTTGAATCCAATTGTTTGAGCTGAAATCATCCTACTAGCAGTATGGACTTCTCAGCGTGGATAAAAATGTTACTCATTGAAAAAGGTTATATTTTAAAAAGTTTATTTATTTAAGACTGAATTATTTTATAATCTGTATATAAATGTTCATAAACATGCAATATCATTCAAGGAAAATTTTATTTACAGCTTCATATTTTTTTATATCATAAGCAAATAATGGTAAAAAAAAATCTGCCAAAATATTTTATATCCTTTTTCTAGATGTGGATTTTTTAATGTACATTTTGTAGATATTGTTGGTATGTATTTCTGTCATTGTCAGCATCATTCCATCATACACCTGTCTTCAAAGGTGTCTTACTTACACCCACTGCATGATATACCTGTCCTCTATTTGGTAATTCTGACTTGACCTCATCACATGGGTTCTCATGTGGATTGACCACATTGTCTAGGGATACAGTCAAATAATGTGTCTAATAACATTTTTTTTTAAACTCAAAAAAGAGCTTTATAACTAATTATTAGCAGAATTCTCTAACATGTTTTTGCCATCTTGTGATAAAATAAGCAGTTATGTTCCTTGAGTTATTAGGTTATCTCCCCTGAGCCTTGGTCTGGTGATGTGGTATTAAACCAAGTCCCACAGAACTAGCAAGCCATGTCATCTTTCATCTGAGTGGTTAACAATGGCTGCCAAATTTAGTTTAGTGGTTACATTGTATCTCTTATGTTGTAATGACTGTAGCATTCCTTCAGTTACTGGAACAGTTGTTTCACTTTATTCCAGACAACTTTCTATTGCAACTCTACCGGTGTACTTTCACCAGTGATAGTCCATGTTACAAAACCTAATCTATCTAGTGGTGTTTGCCTTCACTACATTGCTAGTTTCCCCTCACTGTATCTTTGTATTGCTCTACATTGTTGACTAGTTTGTCTAACATAACTATTGTGTTATGGCAGGTTTTCAAAGTAATTTAGCCTTTAATTTAAATTGCTTGTCATTTAAAAAAAAATCTAATCAGAACTGTTGATACTCATGATGTGTGTGGAGGAATAAATTGTTGATTCTGTGGCCCAAGGAGTTCTGTGGGCCATTTATGGACTAGTTGTTGGCCCATGGAGTTCTGTGGGCCACTTGTTGACTAGTTGTTGGCCCATGGAGTTCTGTGGGCCATTTATGGACTAGTTGTTGGCCCATGGAGTTCTGTGGGCCACTTGTTGACTAGTTGTTGGCCCATGGAGTTCTGTGGGCCATTTATGGACTAGTTGTTGGCCCATGGAGTTCTGTGGGCCACTTGTTGACTAGTTGTTGGCCCATGGAGTTCTGTGGGCCACTTGTTGACTAGTTGTTGGCCCATGGAGTTCTGTGGGCCACTTGTTGACTAGTTGTTGGCCCATGGAGTTCTGTGGGCCATTTATGGACTAGTTGTTGGCCCATGGAGTTCTGTGGGCCACTTGTTGACTAGTTGTTGGCCCATGGAGTTCTGTGGGCCACTTGTTGACTAGTTGTTGGCCCATGGAGTTCTGTGGGCCACTTGTTGACTAGTTGTTGGCCCATGGAGTTCTGTGGGCCACTTGTTGACAATGAAATGTATGTTGTAGTCTACATGTTGACTGGGTGTATATACGAGAAGTAGTTATATACAGCTGTCCTTTAGTGTCTAGTTATAATCATGTCAAGGCTGGTTCTATTCTAGTCTTTTCATTATGTTTGATTATTGATAGGACCAAATACCTTAGCTGACCCCTTAACTGACCCCAATGATGTACATCTAAGTACCCTAGTTGACCCCAATCATGTACATCTAAGTACCCTAGCTGACCCCAATAATGTACATCTAAGTACCCTAGCTGACCCCAATAATGTACATCTAAGTACCCTAGCTGACCCCAATGATGTACATCTAAGTACCCTAGCTGACCCCAATAATGTACATCTAAGTACCCTAGTTGACCCAAATGATGTACATCTAAGTACCCTAGCTGACCCCAATAATGTACATCTAAGTACCCTAGCTGACCCCAATGATGTACATCTAAGTACCCTAGCTGACCCCAATAATGTACATCTAAGTACCCTAGCTGACCCCAATAATGTACATCTAAGTACCCTAGCTGACCCCAATAATGTACATCTAAGTACCCTAGCTGACCCAAATAATGTACATCTAAGTACCCTAGCTGACCCCAATGATGTACATCTAAGTACCCTAGCTGACCCCAATAATGTACATCTAAGTACCCTAGTTGACCCAAATGATGTACATCTAAGTACCCTAGCTGACCCCAATAATGTACATCTAAGTACCCTAGTTGACCCAAATGATGTACATCTAAGTACCCTAGCTGACCCCAATGATGTAGTGCTATGAAAACATTTCCCAAACCTTCAAAAAACCATTGTTTGATACACTTGAAGAGTGTATGTTATTAATGTCAAGTATTTCCTGATGTTGGCCAAGATCCAGTGAATGGCAGTCAAGGCGTGTGTGTGCATGTATGTGTGTGTGTGTGTGTGACACTCACCATTGTCATTCCCGTGTAGTTCTTATTGTTACTGGCAACCGTGATTAGCATTAATGTAAATAGAGGATAAAATCAAATTGGTGCTCTTGATTGATGTGTGGTTTTGTGTGTGTAAGTAGTGTTCTGTGTGGTGGCTGAGGTTGTTGGGTGGTGGCTGAGGTTGTTGTGGTGGCTGAGGTTGTTGTGTGGTGGCTGAGGTTGTTGTGTGGTGGCTGAGGTTGTTGTGTGGTGGCTGAGGTTGTTGTGTGGTGGCTGAGGTTGTTGTGTGGTGGCTGTTATGTGGTGGCTGTTGTGTGGTGGCTGAGGTTGTTGTGTGGTGGCTGAGGTTGTTGTGTGGTGGCTGAGGTTGTTGTGTGGTGGCTGAGGTTGTTGTGTGGTGGCTGAGGTTGTTGTGTGGTGGCTGAGGTTGTTGTGTGGTGGCTGAGGTTGTTGTGGTGGCTGAGGTTGTTGTGTGGTGGCTGATGTTGCTGTAGTCTGGCACCAGAGATTACAAATCAAATAAAATATTCTACACCAGAGCTGGCCTGTGTTGACTTGATTTCTTAGAAAAATATTTCGCCTTTCTGCGCTTGGTGCCCTGATCACAGCTAATGATAGAGAAAATAAACAACGCGCGACACATCTTAGGGTTTACTTAGGATTATGGCTAAAGATAGTCTTAGAAAATAATTTTTATGAGAGCAAATATTAAGAAGCTTGTTTGAATTAATGAAAGAAGTATCTTTTTGATGTTGGCGTGTACCTTTACTGTAGAGAAAACTCGTCAGGTGTTTATATCCACTCACATCCTGTCGAAAGGGTATAAGTATAAGCACAGTGTTTATTTCCGTGACAGGATATAAGCATCTAGCGAATTATCTTTGTCGTTGGCCGAAATAAGCACTACCTTTCTTAACATTTACAGTAATTTACACTGTTCATAAATAACATTACAGTAGCACTAATATAACAATATTACTTGGTAAAACTGCATGGGTTGGCACCCCTGTATATTGTAATTCACCGTGGTACCACCATGAGATAAGAATCTAATTCGTTACGTTACTTTACCTATTATTTCAAATTGCAGTTTCCCCCATTGAAATGCCATTATTCCTTTCCATTCCCCAAAGTACCAATCCAATCGTTTTTGTTAGTTTTAAAAAGAAAATAAAACGAATATATTAATAATATTATATCATAAAATGAAATCATAAGCCTCTACATGCACTGAACAAATAAATTGCTTTTATTAACAAAAGTTTAAAAGCTTTGGTCGTTAACATATGCAAGAGATTTCATGACCGGCTGAAGCTTTTATTAAATAAAGCAGGTTTATTTTATATTTCATCGCAGATGATGTATCTGGGAAAAAATTAATGAAATCGCATCGCAACAAATTAATTACATTTGCCACAACACACACACACACACACAAACATAATACAAAAACAAACAAACAATTGCAATACACACACACAATGCCAAAACAAGCAAACCAACCATTCCACAGTTTTTATTTTGCATTATTTTTCTATTTTACTTGGTAAATAAAAGTTGTTTGTTGAACTTGTATAGGGTTATGTTTGGGCACTAGGGTTAGAGTTGGGTTAGATTTAGGGAGGTTGTATTTACGAATGCGCAGCACATCGAAAACATTTCCATGTTTTTTCCCCACTGCGCATCTGTAGTTTGTTCCGGCTAGAATCGTCCAAGCAAACGAACATTGTCAACTAAAACAACGATTTAAAATGGTAAAATAGAGGTTAGTTCCCTTTAAAACTATAAACAGACACTAAATGGACAAAAGATTAACAGTTTATCGAACCAGGTGTCTAGCTAGACAGGTTGACAAATTGTCTACTGCGACCACAGTGTTTCTTCCAGACTTTTCTCCGGGGGGGGGGGGCACCTAATATTTTTAATATTTTCGGGGGGCTGACTACATTTTCCGGGGAACGGGGGGGGGGGGCGGATACTAGTAAAAGTATATGTTTACGATATAAATTCCATCTCGATCGAGAGGCGGTAGACTTACTTCGGGGGAGGGGGGGGGGGTAGGGCGCCACGAAGAGATGCCTGGAAGAAACTCTGCTGCGACCGTTAGACGGGTGAGTTGTAGAAACAATTTTATACGGTTGGTTTGAAAAAATATATATTTTGTGTTGAACGTCTTAAATCAAATATTGTGTTGATCGTCTTAAATCATACGGCAGAAAAAAAACTTGTGACAATTTACAGCTTTACAGATATAGGCGTTGATAGTAACAGGGTGATATTTATAGCTATTATTTCGTTCAGATTTATAGATCTACAGACTAAAGAGCTTTCGTAACTTCTCGACAAACTAAAGAACCATGAAAATTAACTGCCAACTAAAACTCCTTCGAAGATCTTCACAGAAATTATCATATTTTTTTAAAAGTTCGATTATGTAATATCTATGCAAACAATAGATTCTAAGTTCTATACATATAACGATCCTAAGTTCTATAATCTAAAGATCCTAAGTTATATAATATAAAGATCCTAAGTTCTATACATCTAAATATCCTAGCTAAGTTCTATAATATAAAGATCCTAAGCTCTATATAAACTAAAGGTTCCATGTAAGTTCTACACATACTAAAGACCACCTCTAGTGAAAGGTCCCTTTGAAGTTGCCCGTCAATTTGACACAACGTGAACTGGTGGAGCAGCTAAAAAAACTTTGATCTATTGTTGACTCAGACGGCTGGGGCTGTTAAGTGTATGGTGACGTCACAGCCCCACCTGAGCTGATATGAAGACTGCACCTTTATAGTCTAGTCTATATGGCCCTGTTCATTCACTTGTGGCAGTCAAATAGACAATCAGCATATCGATCCTGGGGGAGGGTTAGGTTCGATCTCGGGGGTGGGGGAGGTGTTTTCTTGCCACTGTGAAATGTCTCCTTTTCAGTTTAATTTTTCTGCCAGCCTTTCTTCCTGTGTGAGGCAAGTCACGAAGTCAAGTCATAAGTCACGACAAAACTCATGTCAAAAGTCAAGTCATAAGTCACGACAAAACTCATGTCAAAAGTCAAGTCATAAGTCACGACAAAACTCATGTCAAAAGTCAAGTCATAAGCTTAATAGAGAATGTCAGGTACATTCCGATTCGTGTGCCTCTCTATTTTTTGTTTTGCCTCAAATCTCAACATATGACGGCTTGAAACAAATGTTTAAAATCTATTGAATATTTGTTTAAAATCTGTTTAATATTTGTTTAAAATCTGTTTAAAATCTATTTAATATTTGTTTAAAATCTGTTTAAAATTTATTGAATACAATATTTGTTTTAAAATCCATTTAAAATCTGTTTTAAATCTATATAAAATCTATTAAAAATCTTTTCAAAATCTCCTTTAAAGTCCATTTAAAATACTTTCAATTAAAATTAAAGTATATTTTTTAATCAATGGACTAAATTCCACGAGTGAGAAAATGTAATTGTTAAAGATTTCTGGCAGCTCCGTGTGAGAACTAATTAAACTTTCCTCGGTAGAAAAACTACGTAGATCTGTTGAGTAGCTCCAGTCAAGCGAGACGAGACCCTCGGGATCTTGACGTCAGTACATAAAAAAAAACGACCCCCTCCCACACACACACCTAACTTGGATTATAATTTCTTGGCGAGAGAAAGTTTTTATGGGGTCTAAATCTGGGCTTTATCGATCTCTTCGATATCGGCAGCAACATAAACACCGATTGCCAGGAGAAACTGATCAATACACGAGCGTGGGGTCGATTTCTTGATCACGTGATCACTGGCTTGTGTTGAAAGGTGTGAGATAGCAGCAGTGTGACAGGAACCACTACAGGGACCAGTCAGTGTGTTGTTGTTTCTTTAAAGAAAAAATATTTTATTGTTGATTCAACTTTCGTTCTGCTTGTGGTAAGTTTTGGCCAACTAGTGGATGTGGCCAATGTTTCTTGTGGCCAGTATTGGATGTGGCCCATGTTTCTTATGGCCAGTATTGGATGTGGCCCATGTTTCTTATGGCCAGTATTGGATGTGGCAGATGTTTCTTGTGGCCAGTATTGGATGTGGCCGATGTTTCTTGTGGCCAGTATTGGATGTGGCCGATGTTTCTTGTGGCCAGTATTGGATGCGGCCGATGTTTCTTGTGACCAGTATTGGATGTGGCCGATGTTTCTTGTGGCCAGTATTGGATGTGGCCGATGTTTCTTGTGGCCAGTATTGGATGTGGCCACGACGTGTCCATTGTGTACTACTATGACACCTCTCAGTATGTAGGAGCATTGATTTATCAAATCTCCCACATGTGCTAAACCAGAAACGACTAATTTTTCTGTTATATTTCAGTAACGCCATGTTTGCTAGACAAGAATAAATTTCTCGAGACAACTTAGTTGAGATAAAACGTTCCTCAACATGGAGAAGGGACTGCAAGGGGTTTTGTTTCTTGCCACAACTTTGTTCTTTTTATCACCTGCAAGTAAGTCTCCAATGTCATTGTACACACCACCTCCGACCTCAGATTAATCTCCCACAGGTACGAAAGGGAACTTTTACTTTTGTACCAAGAAAGCCTACCTGTTAAAAATACCTATTACACATAATATCTTACTGTTTGATGTAAAACAGTTTTTGTGGCGTCACATGTACAATACCTATTACACATAATATCTTACTGTTTGATGTAAAACAGTTTTTGTGGCGTCACATGTACAATACCTATTACACATAATATCTTACTGTTTGATGTAAAACAGTTTTTGTGGCGTCACATGTACAATACCTATTACACATAATATCTTACTGTTTGATGTAAAACAGTTTTTGTGGCGTCACATGTACAATACCTATTACACATAATATCTTACTGTTTGATGTAAAACAGTTTTTGTGGCGTCACATGTACAATACCTATTACACATAATATCTTACTGTTTGATGTAAAACAGTTTTTGTGGCGTCACATGTACAATACCTATTACACATAATATCTTACTGTTTGATGTAAAACAGTTTTTGTGACGTCACATGTACATTACCTATTACACATAATATCTTACTCTTTGATGTACCTATTACACATAATATCTTACTGTTTGATGTAAAACAGTTTTTGTGGCGTCACATGTACAATACCTATTACACATAATATCTTACTCTTTGATGTACCTATTACACATAATATCTTACTGTTTGCTGTAAAACAGTTTTTGTGGCGTCACATGTACAATACAGTGAGCATGGAAAAAGTCACAGAAAAAAAAATCACTACAATTTTTAAACAAATATTTCGATTTATTTTGATTAACCGATGTATAAACTAGTTTACAATAATCATCCGATTTTCATCTTCCCAATAAGTAAAAATTCAAATAAGATAATTGACAATACCGCCTATATTTTCGTTAAATATCTGGTACAAGAATTAATTATCAAAGAAATGAAAGCACAGAATTGTGTTTCGTGTGTTGTTAGTCTCAGGCCTTTCCTCGGTCGGCCTGGTCCGCCCACTTTTTGTGTTATTGACGGCCTTTGTACCGTGTCGGTCTGTTGTTTTGATACTAATTATGTCTTCTTCCCATGTTGCGCGAAATTCAAGTGAGTAGCCAATTAAAAACATGATGAGATATGTAGATGTATAAATATAACCTGCGTACTTCAGATTCAACATTTTTACGTGGTTTATAAATATATTCACACAAAATACAACATAGGCACACATTGACGCAGATATCAAATGTTGATATTAAATTTAAAATAATCGTCTGTTCATGTCTACTTTCTGAATACTTAAAACAAATAAATGTATTAACTGATTCCATGTTAACACACGTTTGTTTCTTTCATTTCCTGTGACTTATTTACTGTGACATTTTTTCTGTGAATTTTTCTTTGATTTCCTGTGACATTTTACCGTACAAGTTTACGACACAATGTTTCTACTGTGTCTCTAGGCGGCTTGACCTTGACCTTGACCTCTCTGTCAACCGCCATCCAGATAGCAGAGAACTTGACCGTGGGCAGCCTCGTTTACAACGGGACATGGTTCTACGACGGGTCATCCACGCTGGTCTTTAACATTGGATGTAAGTAACATCAGATGTGTGGATGTAAGTAACATCAGATGTGTGGATGTAAGTAACATCAGATGTGTGGATGTAAGTAACATCAGATGTGTGGATGTAAGTAACATAATATTTGTTCATGTAAGTAAGTCGACTGCTGACATCTCAATGACAGGCCAGTTGACATCCCAATGACAGACCATTTGACATCCAAATGACAGGCCATTTGACATCCCAATGACAGGCCATTTGACATCCCAATGACAGGCCAGTTGAAATCCCAAATGACAGGCCAGTTGAAATCCCAAATGACAGGCCAGTTGAAATCCCAAATGACAGGCCAGTTGACATCCCAATGACAGGCCAGTTGACATCCCAAATGACAGGCCAGTTGAAATCCCAAATGACAGGCCAGTTGACATCCCAATGACAGGCCAGTTGAAATCCCAAATGACAGGCCAGTTGACATCCCAATGACAGGCCAGTTGAAATCCCAAATGACAGGCCAGTTGAAATCCCAAATGACAGGCCAGTTGAAATCCCAAATGACAGGCCAGTTGACATCCCAAATGACAGGCTAGTTGACATCCCAATGACAGGCCAGTTGACATGTGTCCCCAGTTGGCAACCAGGAGCGGCGGTTCTCTGCGGACGCCTCCAGTTTTCTCATCTACCTGGGCTACGCCCTCGACTACGAGACGACCAAAAGTTACGAGCTCTGGCCGAGGGTGACGGAGGTCGCGACTGGACTCGTCGACTCCAAACTGTTGGTGGTCAACATCACTGACGTCAACGACAACAAACCGGTAGGTGGAGATAACTTTAGGGACGTTGTGTAGCAAAACGTCCCATGTCACAAATGTCATGTTATCGTCTGTCACCAAATGTCATGTTGTCACATGTCACAAAATGTCAAATTGTCACATGTCACCAAATGTCACGTTGTCCCATGTCACAAAATGTCAAGGTATCGTCTGTCACAAAATGTCATGTTGTCACATGTCACCAAATGTCATGTTGTCACATGTCACCAAATGTCATGTTGTCCCATGTCACCAAATGTCATGTTGTCCCATGTCACCAAATGTCATGTTGTCACATGTCACCAAATGTCATGTTGTCACACGTCACCAAATGTCATGTTGTCCCATGTCACAAATGTCATGCTGCACCAACAGACGTGCAGCCACTACAACTACCTGGGTCAGCTTAGCGAGGACGCGGCTGTGGGGACCAGCTTCACCAAACTCTCCTGTACCGACGTGGACACTGGCTTAGGCGGGGTGGTCGAGTACAGCGTCGTTAGCGGTAAGCTGGTCACATGGACGGTCAGACATGGACGGTCAGACATGGACGGTCAGATATGGTCGGTCAGACATGGACGGTCAGACGTGGACGGTCAGACATGGACGGTCAGACATGGACGGTCAGACATGGACGGTCAGACATGGACGGTCAGACATGGACGGTCAGACATGGACGGTCATCCATGGACGGTCAGACATGGACGGTCAGACATGGACGGTCATCCATGGACGGTCAGACATGGACGGTCAGATGTAGACGGTCATACATGGACGGTCAGACATGGACGATCTGACATGGTCGGTCAGATAGTGGACGGTCAGACGGTCAGATAACGACGGTTAGAAATTGCCGTTCCCAGGTGACACAGCTTACATCAATGTGAGCCTGACCACCGGAACAGCTTACATCGTCCAAGGTCTGAACTACGAGAGCAGCCTGACCAGCCTGCAGGTGGTGGTCCAGGTGTCCGACAAGGGCAGCCCCAGGCTATCGATCAACGTCACGGTGCTGCTCAGTGTCAAGGACGTGGATGACAACATACCGCAGTTTATACCCTCGGGGGTGTACTCTACATGTAAGTGTCATGGTGTCATTACATACAGTATGTAAGTGTATTGGTGTCATTACATAATGTAGGTAAGTGTCGTGGTGTCATTACATACTGTATGTAAGTGTATTGGTGTCATTACATAATGTAGGTAAGTATCGTGATGTCATTACATACTGTATGTAAGTGTCGTCATGCCATCACAACTGCATGTTAACTTTATGGTGTCCTTACATAGGCCTACTGCGTAAAAGCATCATGGTGTAATTGCATAATACATTTTAAACTTCAAAATGACAATAAATTACATGTAAGTTAAGTATGTCAGAGTGGAAGGGCGGAGATTTGCTGTTGCCCTATACTCCACAGGGAGTAATGAGGATTAAGTAAATAACTATGTCGTTACATTTAGCTTACATATTACATGTAAGTATCATGCTGTCTTTAAAAGCTGCTTTGAAGTTTCTTGATTTATTTATTTACTGAAAGTATTCGATGTCATACTTTGAAGGGGAAACTACTCAATTAATAATTTTATCAAAACATCCTAGCCTGATTGTATCCCCTTATAGGAATAGGCATTTCTAATCTCTACATGAGAAAAATCTCGTCTATTAGGCTAATTAAGTAGATCTACTTCCTGTCATGTGACTGACCTCCCGTGACCTTTGCTTACAGCTGTATTAGAGAACACGCCCGTGGGGTCAAGCGTGTTGATTCTGTCAGCAAATGACCTTGACGCTGTGGGGTCAGCCAACTCACGAGTTGTGTACGGCATCAGCTGCTCACCTGCTGTTCTTATGGTGGACAGGTACACAGGTAGGTTTATGTTCATAGGTAGGTTTGTTAGCTACACAGGTAGGTTTATGTTTACAGATAGATTTGTTAGCTACACAGGTAGGTTTATGTTCAGAGGTAGGTTTGTTAGTCACCCCGACTTGACCCAACAAAAACCCCGACCTTGACCCAACAAAAAACCCGACCTTGACCCTTTCGTCATGTTTCAGGTCAAGTTTTCACCGTGACCCAGCTGGACTACGAGACGAACCCTGAGATCAGGTGCACGGCCACGGCTTACTCGTCCGACAAGACGACCAACACCAGCACCGCCACCGTCACGATAACCGTCATTGACGTCAACGACAGGATGCCGCTGTTTAACCAGGTCAGCCGAGCTAAACAACTCATTGACCTTGTTCTACCATCAAGGTCACGGAGATCAGGGGGTGAGGGGAAGACAGGGTGGGGGGTTGGGATGGGGGTCTAAACGTTTAGTGTAACTAGGTCACTATACTGGACAGTATTTGCTAGATGGACCTACCACAGGACACTGACCTCTACAGTGACGTGTCCTAGCAGGACCTCTACAATGTCCACACGTTTGTTGTTGTAGAGCCACTACCAGGGAAGCGTCATAGAGAACGCCACCGTGGGGACAGCAGTGACCGCCGTGTCGGCCAAGGACCCAGACGGCGGGACGGTCACCTACAGCATCGTGGACAGTGAGTACCTTGTCACGTGACCATTGTTAAAATCATTGAACACTTTTAGGCTAGCCACTCATCTAATCAAATAGGTCACACTTTTGCCAAACGGAAATTATTTACGCTTTTCAAAAGTTATTGTCTGATGGTCCAAGTATTTCCTTAGCCGTACATCTGTTTTACACCAAGTGTCAACTTGATTTCTTATTTCTCACCAATATTTCAGCGATATTTCACAGGGTCAACTTGAGTTGATATTTCTCACCAATATTTCAGCGAAATTTGACATAGGTTCCACATCTGGAGTGATCACGCTTAAAGATGTTGTGGATTATGAAACAGCCACGTCACACCTGCTCACAGTGACAGCAACAGACAATGGAACACCTGCACAGACTAACACTGTCTTTGTCCAGGTGAGGTGTTGTTGTCCACGTGAGGTGTTGTCCAGGTGAGGTGTTGTTGTCCAGGTGAGGTGTTGTTGTCCAGGTGAGGTGTTGTTGTCCAGGTGAGGTGTTGTTGTCCAGGTGAGGTGTTGTTGTCCAGGTGAGGTGTTGTTGTCCAGGTGAGGTGTTGTTGTCCAGGTGAGGTGTTGTTGTCCAGGTGAGGTGTTGTTGTCCAGGTGAGGTGTTGTCCAGGTGAGGTGTTGTTGCCCAGGTGAGGTGTTGTTGTCCAGGTGAGGTGTTGTTGTCCAGGTGAGGTGTTGTTGTCCAGGTGAGGTGTTGTTGTCCAGGTGAGGTGTTGTTGTCCAGGTGAGGTGCTGTTGCCCAGGTGAGGTGTTGTTGTCCAGGTGAGGTGTTGTTGTCCAGGTGAGGTGTTGTCCAGGTGAGGTGTTGTTGTCTAGGTGAGGTGTTGTTGTCTAGGTGAGGTGTTGTTGTCCAGGTGAGGTGTTGTCCAGGTGAGGTTTTGTTGTCCAGGTGAGGTGTTGTCCAGGTGAGGTGTTGTCCAGGTGAGGTGTTGTCCAGGTGAGGTGTTGTCCAGGTGAGGTGTTGTTGTCCAGGTGAGGTGTTGTTGTCCAGGTGAAGTGTTGTTGTCCAGGTGAGGTGTTGTCTAGGTGAGGTGTTGTTGCCCAGGTGAGGTGTTGTTGTCCAGGTGAGGTGTTGTTGTCCAGGTGAAGTGTTGTTGTCCAGGTGAGGTGTTGTCCAGGTGAGGTGTTGTCCAGGTGAGGTGTTGTTGTCCAGGTGAGGTGTTGTTGTCCAGGTGAAGTGTTGTTGTCCAGGTGAGGTGTTGTCTAGGTGAGGTGTTGTTGCCCAGTTGAGGTGTTGTTGTCCAGGTGAGGTGTTGTTGTCCAGGTGAGGTGTTGTTGCCCAGGTGAGATGTTGTTGTCCAGGTGAGGTGTTGTTGTCCAGGTGAGGTGTTGTTGTCCAGGTGAGGTGTTGTTGTCCAGGTGAGGTGTTGTTGTCCATGTGAAGTGCTGTTGTCCAGGTGAGGTGTTGTTGTCCAGGTGAGGTGTTGTTATCCAGGTGAGGTGTTGTCCAGGTGAGGTGTTGTTGTCCAGGTGAGGTGTTGTACAGGTGAGGTGTTGTCCAGGTGAGGTGTTGTCCAGGTGAGGTGTTGTCCAGGTGAGGTGTTGTCCAGGTGAGGTGTTGTCCAGGTGAGGTGTTGTTGTCCAGGTGAGGTGTTGTCCAGTTGAGGTGTTGTTGTCCAGGTGAGGTGTTGTCCAGGTGAGGTGTTGTTGTCCAGGTGAGGTGTTGTCCAGGTGAGGTGTTGTCCAGGTGAGGTGTTGTTGTCCAGGTGAGGTGTTGTTGTCCAGGTGAGGTGTTGTCTAGGTGAGGTGTTGTCTAGGTGAGGTGTTGTTGTCCAGGTGAGGTGTTGTTGTCCAGGTGAGGTGTTGTTGTCCAGGTGAGGTGTTGTTGTCCAGGTGAGGTGCTGTTGCCCAGGTGAGGTGTTGTTGTCCAGGTGAGGTGTTGTTGTCCAGGTGAGGTGTTGTCCAGGTGAGGTGTTGTTGTCTAGGTGAGGTGTTGTTGTCCAGGTGAGGTGTTGTCCAGGTGAGGTTTTATTGTCCAGGTGAGGTGTTGTCCAGGTGAGGTGTTGTCCAGGTGAGGTGTTGTCCAGGTGAGGTGTTGTTGTCCAGGTGAGGTGTTGTTGTCCAGGTGAGGTGTTGTTGCTCAGGTGAGGTGTTGTTGTCCAGGTGAGGTGTTGTTGTCCAGGTGAGGTTTTGTTGCCCAGGTGAGATGTTGTTGTCCAGGTGAGGTGTTGTTGCCCAGGTGAGGTGTTGTTGTCCAGGTGAGGTGTTGTTGTCCAGGTGAGGTGTTGTTGTCCATGTGAAGTGCTGATGTCCAGGTGAGGTGTTGTTGTCCAGGTGAGGTGTTATTGTCCAGGTGAGGTGTTGTCCAGGTGAGGTGTTGTTGTCCAGGTGAGGTGTTGTACAGGTGAGGTGTTGTCCAGGTGAGGTGTTGTCCAGGTGAGGTGTTGTCCAGGTGAGGTGTTGTCCAGGTGAGGTGTTGTCCAGGTGAGGTGTTGTCCAGGTGAGGTGTTGTCCAGGTGAGGTGTTGTCCAGGTGAGGTGTTGTTGTCCAGGTGAGGTGTTGTCCAGTTGAGGTGTTGTTGTCCAGGTGAGGTGTTGTCCAGGTGAGGTGTTGTTGTCCAGGTGAGGTGTTGCCCAGGTGAGGTGTTGTTGTCCAGGTGAGGTGTTGTTGTCCAGGTGAGGTGTTGTTGTCCAGGTGAGGTGTTGTTGTCCATGTGAAGTGCTAGTCCAGGTGAGGTGTTGTTGTCCAGGTGAGGTGTTGTCCAGGTGAGGTGTTGTCCAGGTGAGGTGTTGTTGTCCAGGTGAGGTGTTGTTGACCAGGTGAGGTGTTGCTGTCTAGGTGAGGTGTTGTCCAGGTGAGGTGTTGTTGTCCAGGTGAGGTGTTGTCCAGGTGAGGTGTTGTCCAGGTGAGGTGTTGTTGTCCAGGTGAGGTGTTGTTGTCCAGGTGAGGTGTTGTTGCCCAGGTGAGGTGTTGTTGTCCAGGGGAGGTGTTGTTGTCCAGGTGAGGTGTTGTCCAGGTGAGGTGTTGTTTTCCAGGTGAGGTGTTGTTGTCCAGGTGAGGTGTTGTTGTCCAGGTGAGGTGTTGTCCAGGTGAGGTGTTGTTCAGGTGAGGTGTTGTTGTCCAGGTGAGGTGTTGTACAGGTGAGGTGTTGTTGTCCAGGTGAAGTGTTGTTGTCCAGGTGAGGTGTTGTTGTCCAGGTGAGGTGTTGTCCAGGTGAGGTGTTGTCCAGGTGAGGTGTTGTCCAGGTGAGGTGTTGTTGTCCAGGTGGGGTGTTGTTGTACAGGTGAGGTGCTGTTGTCCAGGTGAGGTGTTGTTGTCCAGGTGAGGTGTTGTTGTCCAGGTGAGGTGTTGTTGTCCAGGTGAGGTGTTGTTGTCCAGGTGAGGTGTTGTCTAGGTGAGGTGTTGTTGTCCAGGTGAGGTGTTGTTGCCCAGGTGAGGTGTTGTTGTCCAGGTGAGGTGTTGTTGTCCAGGTGAGGTGTTGTTGTCTAGGTGAGGTGTTGTTGTCCAGGTGAGGTGTTGTTGCCCAGAATAGAATACCTTTGTCCAGGTGAGGTGTTGATTCCCAGGTGAAGTGTTGTTTGTCCAGGTGAGATAGAATATTCTCCTGAGAACTGGCCTTTTAAAGTCAAACAACCAACTGACCAGTGGAAGATGACCAGACAAGAGACAATGAAAAACCTAACAACAGCTTGTATTTCTCCACTCAACAGGTAACAGTTTCTATTTCTCTACTCAACAGGTAACAGTTACACCAGTGAACGAATTCGACCCTGTATTCACCCCACCAAGTTACACACTCTCTGTAGCAGAAGACCAAGTTCCAGGTAACATCTGCCACCATCATCTAACATCTGCCACCATCATCTAACGTCTGCCACCATCATCTAACATCTGCCACCATCATCTAACATCGGCCACCATCATCTAACATCTGCCCCATCATCTAACAACTGCCCCTTTCATCTAACATCTGCCACCATTATCTGTAACAAAAAGCTTCGGATGTAGGACACGTGACTCGTTAAAACAATCCTGATAAGTTTCCAGCTTACTAAAACAATTCTAAGGCAACAATGTTTAAAAAATGTGTAAAAAACAACGTTTTAATAACAAGCTTTTATGTAATAATGCACTACAAGTGGAAAATAAATAATTATCTTTTAATATATAATAATACACTACTATTTAAATAACTATAAAGAAAAGCGTGGGTCACTTTATAATCTATTGGATACCTTTACTAATATTTAGGAAGAGACCCCCGCTTTTCTCTATAGTAATTTAAATAGTCGTGTATCCTAATATATAATAGACCATGTGCGCACTTCTCTCTCTCTCTCTCTCTGTCTGTCCGCAAAATATTTTCGCCGGATATCACGTCAGAATCGGCAGCGATATATGGATACCTTTATACGGACTTTTGTTGAAAATAATATGTCAGATGTTTTAAATGTATAACCACAATTTTATTTAAAGAAGAAAAATAAAAAATAAAGGCTTATTCGAATGTAGAGAAACAGTTTTAATTATGCAAAAGGAAAAGCGTTTATAGTTGTGAAAAAGAATGCATAAAACAGTGACGTCACTAATGTTTATACATTAACTAATGACGTCATCTGCCGTGTTTAGAATGAAAAGAAGTGAACTATTTCATTCAAATTTGATTTAGATCTACGTACGCTATAAAATGTATACACAATACAATATCCCGAGTTGCCATCCCCCGTAGTATTATATAAGAATATTCGAGAAAGTTTAGGGGAGATCACTCCCGGTTTATTTCATTTACAATTTAGTTGAGTGACTAAAAACCATTGCGCAATTAATGAACATGCTAACGCGAGTATAATAGTGCGAATAGTTGGATAAGATAGCCTACTAATTTGGACACAATTTTAATTAATTAGGCATCCAATTAAGTCACATTTAATGTCAGATTGCGTTGTCTTCATGTCTTCACGTGCCAACTAAGAACCGAATCTGTCAGTTAGAAGTGCCCGAAATTTCGCTCGAGCATTTCACTCTATGACGACAGACGCGGCAGACTGACGACAAACTGACGACAGACTGGACGAGGAAGCAAGTTAAATAAAAGCTTGTAAAATGCTTATTTCTTACTTAAAATGAATTTTATATGAAAGAATGGGTTTGTATTAGCAAACCCGAACTGACCTGGCGCATGATTTGGTATTAAGTGGCACTGACCACAGGACACGTAAAGATTGACCTGTTGTGACACTGACCACAGGACAAGTGTAGGATGACCTGTCGAGAGACTGACCACAGGACACGTAAAGATTGACCTGTTGTGACACTGACCACAGGACAAGTGTAGATTGACCTGTCGAGAGACTGACCACAGGACAAGTGTAGAATGACCTGTTGATTGACCTTTGTGTTTCAGGTACATCTGTGTACACGATCACAGCATCAGACCAAGATGCTGGACTTGATGGCGCCATAGGGTACAGTCTGGTGACCAGCACCACACCTACACCTTTCATGATAGACGCAGGGACAGGTAGGTGTGGGGTGGGTGTATGTGAGGGGCCGGTGTATGTGTGGGGTGGGTGGGTGTATGTGTGGGGTGGGTGTATGTGAGGGGCCGGTGTATGTGTGGGGTTGGTGTATGTCTCGGGGTGGGTGTATGTGTGGGGGTGGGTGTATGTGTGGGGTGGGTGTATGTGTGGAGTGGGTGTATGTGTGGGGTGGGTGTATGTGTGGGGTGGGTGTATGTGTGGGGTGGGTGTATGTGTGGGGTGGGTGTATGTGTGGGGTGGGTGTATGTATGGAGTGAGTGAATGTGTTGGGTGGGTGTATGTGTGGGGTGGGTGGGTGTATGTGTGGGGTGGGTGTATGTGTGGGGTGGGTGTATGTGTGGGGTGGGTGTATGTGTGGGGTGGGTGTATGTGTGGGGTGGGTGTATGTGTTGGGTGGGTGTATGTGTGGGGTGGGTGTATGTGTGGGGTGGGTGTATGTGTGGGGTGGGTGTATGTGTGGGGTGGGTGTATGTATGGAGTGAGTGAATGTGTTGGGTGGGTGTATGTGTGGGGTGGGTGTATGTGTGGGGTGGGTGTATGTGTGGGGTGGGTGTATGTGTGGGGTGGGTGTATATGTGGGGTGGGTGTATGTGTGGGGTGTGTGTAGGTGTGGAGTGAGTGAATGTGTTAAGTGGTTGTATGTGTGGGTGTATGTGAGGGGCCAGTGTATGTGTGTGGTGGGTGGGTGTATGTGTGGGGTGGGTGTATGTGTGGAGTGAGTGAATGTGTTGGGTGGGTGTATGTGTGGGGTGGGTGTATGTGTGGGGTGGGTGTATGTGTGGGGGAGAAGTTTGTGTGCGGAGATGATTGCATGAACATTTTCATTTAATTTAAGTAACAATTTAAGTTTTATTTTTAGCAGTAATACGGATCTACCCAGTTTAGGGTTATGACGTTTTGTGTTGATGGTTATGATGTGTTGTTTGTTGATGGTTGTGTCGTTTTGTTTGTTGATGGTTGTGACGTGTTGTTTGTTGATGGTTGTGACGTGTTGTTTGTTGATGGTTGTGTCGTTTTGTTTGTTGATGGTTGTGTCGTTTTGTTTGTTGATAGTTGTGACGTGTTGTTTGTTGATGGTTGTGTCGTTTTGTTTGTTGATGGTTGTGTCGTTTTGTTTGTTGATGGTTATGAAGTGTTTTTTGTTGATAGTTATGACGTGATGTTTTTTGATGGTGTTGATGTGTTGTTTGTTGATGGTTATGAAGTGTTGTTTGTTGATAGTTATGACGTGTTGTTTGATGATGGTTATGATGTGTTGTTTGTTGATGGTTATGACGTGTTGTTCCAGGCATCCTGAGAGTGGCCTACGCCCCCTTAGACTTTGAGAAGACAAAAAGTTACACATTCACCATCGTAGCCAAGGACAACTCCACCACAGCGCCTAAGTCTGCTAATGTAATGTGTTTATTGTGTCTGGAGATGTGTGTAATAGTTTAGGGAAAACATTGGGGGTGTGTTCATGTGTAGTGAATATATTGGGGGGGGGGTGTAATAGTTTAGGGAAAACATTGGGGTGTGTACATCTTTAGGGAATACATTGGGGGGGGGTGTATTTGTTTAGGGAGTACATTGGGGGTGTGTACATCTTTAGGGAATACATTGCTCACTCTTACGTCACTAGAGCCTCCATGTAATGCTAAACCATGGTTGACCAACTAGGCTATCGTTAAATGTTTGCTGAAGACATTTGTAACCAACTGAAAACATTGGCGACCAGCGTTACTTACTGTTACTTTAGCAATATTAAATACACTCTAAAATTTATTAAAAATGTTTTTAAAAAGGGTAATAGGGAATATATAAATGAAGTCACACTTTTATTTTAAAATTCCCCTATCCCTCCCCCCCTTCCCCTTTCTGTCCATCGTCACACCACCACAAACAGATCTTAAACTGACATCAAACTTGAACCCCCCCCCCCATTATAATTTCATTTTTTTAACTTCCTAAATTGTGTGTAGCTTGGGACACACCCAACTATCTCAGACACACCCAACTATTTCGGACACACCCAACTATTTCGGACACACCCAACTATTTCGGACACACCCAACTATTTCGGACACACCCAACTATTTCGGGATGAAGCATGAGTTTGGTCTAGTCACATTTCGTTTTTCATTTTAAAGTTGATTTTTATTTTGATATCAGCTTCTTGACTGGCTCATAAAATACACTAGACCAGGGGCGTAGCGAGGGGGGGGGGGGGCGGGGGGTGCGGACCGCACCGGGTGTCACCATTTAGGGGGGTGACACCAAGGCAAAAAATAGCAAAATATATAAAGAAAAACTTGAGGGGGGGGGGTGTGCAAATCGAAAGTTTGAGGGGGGGGGGGATGCAAATCGAAAACTTGAGGGAGGGTGCAAATCAAAAGTTTGAGGGGGGTGCAAATCGAAAACTTGTAAGTTTGTCCCCGGGAAGGGTCGCTACGCCTCTAGGGGGTGACACCATTAAGTGCCGCACCGGATGACACCCGACCTCGCTACGCCACTGCACTAGACCACCCGTTATCCTTAGATAACTGTAGGTTTCGGGGTCATTCATTGAATTGCGGGCAGCCAGATACATGTTTAGAGAAAATATATTAAGTTATTTTACTTAGCCTCCATAAAAAATGTAAAATCAAGACAAATATTATTTTGAATTAAAATCTATCCCATTTTAACAAATACCATTGTTAAGAAACAAAGATTTATATTAAATATTTCAGGTCTAAAATAGTTTAATAAAGAAACTAAAAATTATTAAATGTTTTTTATACTTATTTTTCTTTTAACTTATTAATTTTGGTTTGGCCTACTTTCCCCAGACAGCTTTCCTAAATCTAGTTTATCGTTAGATCTGGATAGATTTTAAGATAGTATACTTAAATTAGAAGAACTGTCAAGTGTATCGTTGTGAAAATAAGTAAAGTATTTGTTGTGAACTTTTATAATTAAAAGGTTGTTTGTACAGCTGAACATATCAATAAATTAATTATCATCTTTCAATAAATTAATATATAACATTTTGGGAAAATGGAATATTTTTCTCTACATAAATACGTATTTTACATTTCTGCTGATAGTGCAGATGCTCTTATCAAACGTAAAAGGAAAAAAAAAATGTCTGAGTATTAGTTGCATTTAAAAATAGATAGATAAGTGCTACACCACACTTTCATACCCCTTTCCGTTACTATCAAGCACCCCACCTCCCGAAATATGACGTCATTTGCGGACGTTATTTATCTAATCATGTTGGTAATGTGGAGAATTCTAGAAACTTACCTCTTAGCAAATGTAAGCAAAAACGACAAATTTGTGGCTAAAAGTGTTGTAGTTGAACATTCAACTTCTTGTAAATTAGGTTAGAGTTTATACCTTTGGAAATTAGGCAGTTACCCTGTACATATTTAGGTAAAACGTCAGTAACTTTAGTAATTAAGAATTTAACCTCGTGTTAATTAGGTGACTAATTAAACCTTGTGTTAATTAGGTGACTGATTAAAACTTGTCCTACTCACAGGCGTCGGTTACCGTGACCATCACTGACGTCAACGACTCGCCAGTCACCTGTAACGCTGTCCCAACGGTGGTGTTCAAGTCGCCGTTCTCTAACGCGGCCAACTTGAGCCAGTTGACCTGCAATGACCCAGACTCTACAGGTGCCAGCCTCACCTATAGCTTACCTGTGGGAAACGGTGCTGGGTATTTTAAGGTAGGTTGATCTCGTCGAAAACAATTCTTCTTAGCAGATGTCCATATCCCTCCCAACCAGTATAATCGCGTACAATCAGTTGTTTCCCGTGTATGGCTTGAGTTAAAAAAAAAATACAAGTTTTTAAGGAGTTAGGCTCCGGAATAAAATCTTCAAAATTATTAAGTATTATTTATTTACTAGCAAAGCGCTGCGCTGCGCGTGGGTGGCGGTAGCACGTCCCTTGTGTATGCGTTGCATTGGTGTGGATAATCCACGATATCGTCCCCATGACAGTGAAGGAATTCCGGTTGAATTGGAGCTGCCAGTCGTGAACCGCTTCCTTCAGTTCACCCCATTTGTATTTTTTAAATGGGAAACTCATATACATAAATAATAAGTAAAGCCCAACAACACTATTGTACTAATTTAATATTTTTCAAAAATACGTAAAAACATTTTGATAACAAGCGTAACATATACACTAAAAAGTGTAAATTAAATTATTTAATTTAAATACTAGCCGTCCCGGCCAGGCCCTGCACTGGCATCTCTGAAAAAGGTATCTGTAAAGGACCATAACTTGTGTGCTTAGTAATCAGCATTTATCCGGCATTGCCCACCCTAACCACAACCAACGCAAACATAACACTAACACAAACAAACACAAACGAAAACACAAAAACAAATGCAAAGACAAACCCAACAACAAACACAAAGAAAACACAAACACTAACGCAAACAAAAAAAGAAAACGAAAACAAATCTAAACGCAAACACAAACCCAATCACAACCACAACCAAACAAAACCAAAACCAAAACCAAAACACACAAAAAAAAACCCCAACGCAAACATAACACAAACGCAAATACAAACACAAACGAAAACACAAAAACAAACGCAAACACAAACAATCACAAACACAAAGAAAACAAATCGCACCATGAAGACGTGCGGCGTAACCGCCTGATTCAACTTAGTAAACGACTATAGTACCCAACTTATTCATAGTCTTTTGAACTCACTTACGCGAACGTAGGTACCATAGCGTACACGGGAAGGCCCAGGGCGCCAAATAGCACCCTGTCGGGGTGCCGGAGGACGCCCGGATTTGATTCACTTAAAGACTATAGTAACCTTTCTTATCCATAGTCTATCGAAGTGTTTAAAACAAAATTGTGCAGCATAGCGCTCACATGATAGCCCATGGCGCCAAATCGAACCGTGCATGGGCGCCGGCGGTCGCGCCTGTTTCAATTTAGTGAACAAAATTATAATACTCCAAGCTTATCCGTAAACGGAAAGATATAAACATATAGGATTTGTAGGACCTGGCTTATTAAATGTTATTGATTTAAAAAAAAATAATTAGTAAACAGTATATTCAGTGTATAGAATAAATAAAAGGCAGTATTAAAAATACTAACGACATAGCACTTAATCAATCCCCACTAATTATGTTATTTTTTATTTATTTTTTAACATCAAAACAAAGTAATAAAAAGTAAATTCTTTCTTCCCCCGATTTAATGGTTTTTTAAAGGGAAGTAACTGTGTTTTCCAAATCAAGGGACTTTATGAGAGCTAAAGGACAAAATGCAAATACATTTCAGACACAATTTTAGAAATTTTATAAACGTTTATACACGTTTTTTAAATTTTATGTAAAGTTCATAATTGAAAATTATCATTCTAAGTATATAAAATGAAAATTGTTTTTAAAGACTTTCAATAGTAATTTTTTAACTCATAAATTTAGACCATGAGCACTATAATAATCTAACACTTAAATCCATCGAAGTATCCACGACAACATTTTACAAACAAACATACAGAATTGAACTTTATATATTAGATTTAATTGCGTATTAATTGCCCATAACATTTTGGGTTGAACTCAAATTATATAATTGCGTATCAATTGCCCATAACATTTTGAATGGAACTTAAAATAATTGATTACAAATTCAAAACTAGACGACATAAACAAGTTGTTGACCCCTAAATAAAGGGAAATTATTGATCAAAAATGCAAATACTAAAAGTGTGTAGGCGGTCTCACGTTTTAAATCACAATTCCAAATGTTTGCCTGTACATATTAATTACAATTACTGTTCTCCCGAACACATGTAATGTATGTAAGCGTTTAGTCTGTGTCTCTCTTTGTCTCTGTGTCTGCCTATTTTTGTCTGTGACTCTCTGTGTCTTTCTTTGTCTGTATCTGAGTTTCTCTATGCCTCTCTGTGTATGTGTGTCTCTATGTGTCTGAGTTTCTCCATGCCTCTATGTGTATGTGTGCCTCTATGTGTCTGAAGGTGTAGCACGTCCTACTGGAGGCGAGGGACCGCCCAGAGTTTCGCCCAGAAATTTTAGTCCGCCCCCCCCCCCCCTTCCCTCGAAAATTTCAAGTGCCAACTTGTCTGTAAGAAAAACTGGATCGGACAATGTAGACATCTACAGAGAAATCTCACGCTACTGATTAGATATTTTGTTTGTTACATTGTGTCTTAATACATGATTTTAATTAAACCTTTTTACTTTGACTCCAGATTGACTCTAAGGGGACGTTAATGCTGTCAGACGTGAGCAGACGTCCCGCGAGCACCAGATACGACTTGCAGGCACAGGTGTATGACGGCACGGACTCCACGACCGTCACCTTCACCGTGCTGTCTGAGACGGACCTGGCTTTCAGCACCTTCACCAACCCGCTCACCATTGAGGAGAACACGACCGTGGGGCTACTGACCACACTGTCGGCGTGCTGCACGTTCCCACAGCTGACCTACACCATCGTGAGCGGGAACAGCGACAACAGGGTTGGCATGGACAGCTACACTGGGAACATTTACAACAACGTCCCCTACGACAGGGAGCTGCAGGGGGTGTACAACTACGTGGTGGTGGCCACGTCCACTAGTGGTCAGTCGGCGACTGCCACACTGACCGTTAGCGTGCAGGACATCAACGACCACTGGCCAGAGTTTGATAGAAATATTTACGTCTTTAAAGTGGACGAAAGTTTGAGCGTGAATTCGGTCATAAGCCAAATCACAGCAACTGATAAGGACAGCGGGACAAATGCCCAGCTGACCTATGCCCTGACGGTTGGGACAGATTCAGCATCCTTTAGCATTGATGCGGGGACAGGTTCTCTGAGTCTGATACAAGGTTTAGATTACGAGGCTAAGACAACTTTGACGGTTGAAATCACGGCTGCAGACGGGGGTGCACCGCCAAAATCAGGAACAACAACTGTGGTGATTCAAGTACAAAACAAAGATGAATCCAATCCAACGTGGATTACCCTTCCTGGTCCTTACACCTCTACCCTAAAAGAAGACGTTGCTTTAGGGACTTTAGTATTCCAGGTCAACGCAACAGACGGAGACATGGATACCATCTTCACCTACAACATCACCAACGGCAACACCAACAACGACTTTTTCATTGACCCCGCCTCCGGTAAAGTCTTTGTCAATAAATTCCTGGACAGGGAGCGGACGCCCAGCTACACGCTGACCATTGTAGCTGTCAATCAAAACGGTCAGTCAGTCACAGGAACGTTGACCGTCAACATCCAAGACGTCAACGATAACTACCCAAAGTTTTCACAAAATGTTTACGTGTATTCCTTCGCTCATGGGTACACTGGCCCTAATATCGGGACTCTAACTGTGACTGATGCGGATGAAGGCACCAACGCTGTCGTTATTGGTAAAATCTTAAGTGGAGACACCCAGTCACAGTTTGCCCTGTCCAGTAGCCTGCAGCTGACAACAAGCCAGTCATTCGATTACTTGGGCATCAGAAGATTCACTCTGGTCGTGGAGGCTGAAGACGGAGGCTCTCCCAAGCTGACATCCACAGCTGTTGTTGTCATTAATGTCACACCAGCTTCGACAGATGCCAAGTTTAACATTACTTCAGACAGCGTGACACTTCGAGAGGACGTGCTTGTCGGCACTCAAGTTTACGACTTCAATGCCACACTGCTGGGTGCTTTAGAAGATGGAACCCTCAAGTACACAATGTCAGGTGGCGATGGAGAATTTCAAATACGGCCCAACACTGGTCAAGTTTACATTGCTTCAGCCTTAGATTATGAGAAGAAAAAAGAGTCCTATAATTTGGTAGTTGTTGCTAGTACCGTTAAAAACAGCGCCTCATGTACGCTAACCGTTACCATCACCAACATCAATGACAATACTCCCAGTTTTCCATCCAATATTGTGGGTGTGACTCAGGAAACTTTTAGTTTTTTGGTTGATGAAAATGCGACCGTAGGCTATGTCGTGGGGACGGTTTTGGCCACTGACGCTGACAAGGCCCCATACGGTCTGGCCAGTGAGACCATGACTGGAACTTCAGACTTCGTCCTTGACCCAACGACTGGGGTCATCACGGTGAAGAACAAGCTGAACTACCTGACGAAAAGTTACTACAACCTTCTGGTGACGGCCTCAGATGGCGGGACCCCAGCCAAGACAGCCAAGGCTTATGTCGTCATCAAGGTCAATGACGTCAATGACCACAGTCCAGTTTTTGTGACCACATCAAGCACGACTTTACTGGACTCCGTGCCAATAGGGTCTGAAGTCTTTAGGTTCTACGCCACTGACCTTGACACTGGAAATGCCGGAAACGTTTCTTACGTCATCAAATCGACCACAGGCCCTGGACTTTTCTCACTGGACGAGTCCACGGGTGTCTTGACAACAACAGATGTGCTGGACGCTGCCGTCACGTCATCCTACACGCTAACCATAACGGCGTCAGATCATGGTGTCCCGAGTCTAGCCACTGACCAGACGTTTACCATAACTCTGACCGCTACAAACCCCAACTACAACACCCCGATATTTTCTCTCCCAGATCCAGACACCTTCACCGTCCCCAGAACAGAACCCAAGGGAACGGTTGTCGGGACAAAGTCCGCCACAGACACTGACCACGGCATCAGCGGTCAAATCCTCTACACAATCCTCTCAGGCAACGACGACGGTTATTTCTTGATGAACGAAACTTCCGGCGAGATTCGAACCTCGACCAGCATCCTGACGGCAGCCGACTCGTACACCCTCGTGCTGAGGGCCAAAGATCGAGGAACGCCCTCGAGGTCAAGCACCGCGACCGTTACGATCAACGTCACGCCGTCCCGTACTACGAACCCTGACTCTGACTACAGCTTTACGGTGGCCGAGGATAAACCTGCAGGCAGTGAGATCGGCAGGATCAAGGTGGACAGTCCCAGGGTACCTAGTGGATATACAATATTGGCTGGCAACTTGGGAAACTCTATTGGTGTAGATCTAGACGCCACCACAAATGAAGGTCTCCTGACTGTCTCAGCACTAGACTGTGAGAAATACCCAGAATACAATCTGCTAGTAGAGGTGACCACAGACATCGGTCCGTTGACCAAAGTCGTCCAGGTCACAGTGACCGACGTCAACGACAACCCGCCAGTTTTTTCACAGACCGCTTACGTCATCAGTATCCCAGAAAACATGCCGGTTGGCTACACGGTGGAGACAATTATGTGGTCCGATGCTGACGTCACATCCGCCAACCGCAACAACAACTTGACCCTGACCCCACCTGGTGATACCTACTTTACCATAGACGCGTCCGGTCACCTGGTTATAAAGAAATCCCCTGACTATGATATTTTATCTTCAATTTCTTTCCAAGTGGACGCCACAGATTTAAACGTCAACCCTCAACCGTCCGCCTCAGTGGGCGTCAGCATTAATTTGATTGACGTCTTAGAAGAAGAAGAAACGCCCATTTCCAAGGTGACCAAGAATGCCATGATCTCCCTGGAATGTCCGTACCAGGCATCCAATGGTCACCTGGTCTACACACTGACCCCAGGAGACTTTGGCATCCCTGAATCAAACTTAGCCACAGCCGAGTACGTCACATACACCAGCACATTTCCCTTCAGGTAATGATTGGTCCGTTTAGACACGTGACACTAAATAGGAATACATTATTTGCCACTTCCTATTCTTTAAATTAAAATTAAAGTTGCTGTTAGTTTTACAAGCTTTACTTAGTTCGCAACGTCAGTTTGTTTGGTTGTGGATATATGGCAAACCTTGTAACTCAATTTTGACCCACTTCTAATGCAGCGATTTCATTCAAACTTTCCAAACACGTTCTGTATGAAAATCAATGTTTAATTTATTTAGAGAGAACATTTTAATTTAAGATTACTATATTCAAATACAAAATAAAATACCAGTTAGCAATCGCTTGTTCAGAGGGACGTCGTGGGTGAACTGTACCTTCACAGTTCGCTGATTTTACGTCGAGCGTTGAGTATGGACGAAGAAGGGGCCGTCAACTATTTTTAGTCGTTGTTGTAGTATCAACTTAATTTTGAACGACTGACGAAAAATGGAAATAAATAACATTTTGTATGCACTGAAAATGAGAAAATAGAACAACCTTCGTTAATAGACTATGCAAGTGTTCTTACGAGCGACCATGCTTTTATTAATGAAGTTTGATTTTCTTATTTTCATCGCATTCAAAGCTTCTTACTCTGATTTTTTAATGTTTCATTATTAAGATCCTTACTCTCATACTGACTGCTGCATCTCTCTATATTCCACGCGTGGACATGACTTTTGTATTCTATTATCCCCCAGTGTGTCCAGCTCGACTGGTCAGATCACAGTGACCAGCTCCTCGTCTCTAGAGAACCAGGCCAAATATTTCCACTGGGTTTTGTGTCGCTCCACCATCGGCAGCGTCACCACCTCCAAGATCTCCCTCCTGCGGATTGATACATTCGACATGACGTCACAGATGGTGGTCATCGAGTTCGCAGAGAAATATTCCGACGTCGTTAGCAATATGTGAGTTGATTAAGGCTAGAAATATTCAAACGAATAATTGCTAGTAATATAATAGTAATTTGCCTCTGAAAAAAAAACCTATCTGTAAAGCACCATGACTTGTGTGTTTATTTAACAGCGTATACCCATCATTGCCCGGGCTTATGAAATATATTACTTTTCGAATTAACCCTAATCCTAACAAACCAGAACAAAAACATAAAAACAAACGTAAACACAAAGGAAAACCCAAGTGCAAACAGAAATGCAAACACAAACCCAAACGCCAACTCAACCGAAACACAAACGCAAACACATACACAAACCCAAACAGAAACGCAAACACAAAAGCAAACGCAAACACAAACGCTAAAACAAACACAAATACAAATAGAAACGCAAACGCAAACAATAACTCAGAAAATAATGCAAAATTAAACGCGAACATTAACACAAACTTAAATGCAAACATAAACGCATAGAGCTAACAGTCTAGCTCGGGGCACTAAATCGCACCCTGCAGGGGCGCCGGTGGACCCGTCTGATACAACTTACCAAACGACTATAAAATACCAACTTGTCCATAGTGTATTGCATTCACTTAAACGAACGTAGACGCCATAGAGATGACTGGAACGTCCTGGGCGCCAGATAGAACTCTCTTGGGGCGCCGGAGCATGCCTTGGATTCGATTTAGTGAAAATTTTTAGTAACCCTTCTTATTTATAGTCTATCGCACTCTTTAACACGAACGTAGGCACCATAACGCCCACGGGATAGCCCAGGGCGCCAAATAACAATCCGCCTGATTCAATTTAGTGAACGACTATAATAACAGCTTAAATATTTTAAAAAGTAACCATAATTTTGTTGCTTACAATATTTTCTAAAAAAAAAATAATTTTTAATTCTATGTGATTACATAGGCTTTTCAAGCCTATTTACTGGTAACTTGCCGTTCAGGCCAGGCGCTGCTCTAGCTGTTTTCTTCATCACTGAGTGTACAATTTTTAAATAAATTAGCACATTGTTTCACTTTAGTGTAGTTTATTTGAGCTTTACACGCAACGTATAACCAGTGATAACGCGTGATTCTCTACTATATTATATATATATATATATATATATATATATATATATATATATATATATATATATATATATATATATATATATATATATATATATATATATACGGATGGATGGATGGATGGATGGATGGATGGATGGATGGATGGATGGATGGACGGATGGACGGATGGACGATGGACGGATGGACGGATGGACGGATGGACGGATGGACGGATGGATGGATGGATGGATGGATGGATGGATGGATGGATGGATGGATGGATGGATGGATGGATGGATGGATGGATGGATGGATGGATGGATGGATGGATGGATGGATGGATGGATGGATTTAATGGATGGGTGGATGGGTGGATGGATGGGTGGATGGGTGGATGGGTGGATGGGTGGATGGGTGGATGGGTGGATGGATGGGTGGATGGATGGGTGGATGGATGGGTGGATGGATGGATGGATGGATGGATGGATGGATGGATGGATGGATGGATGGATGGATGGATGGATGGATGGATGGATGGATGGATGGATGGATGGATGGATGGATGGATGGATGGATGGATGGATGGATGGATGGATGGATGGATGGATGGATGGATGGATGGATGGATGGATGGATGGATGGATGGATGGATGGATGGATGGATGGATGGATGGATGGATGGATGGATGGATGGATGGATGGATGGATGGATGGATGGATGGATGGATGGATGGATGGATGGATGGATGGATGGATGGATGGATGGATGGATGGATGGATGGATGGATGGATGGATGGATGGATGGATGGATGGATGGATGGATGGATGGATGGATGGATGGATGGATGGATGGATGGATGGATGGATGGATGGATGGATGGATGGATGGATGGATGGATGGAGATGGATATAGATTATATAGATAGATATAACAGATACATATATATATATATATATATATATATATATATATATATATATATATATATATATATATATATATATATATATATATGTGTGTGTGTGTGTGTGTGTGTGTTTGTAGTTTGTGTTTTAACATGTTAATAAACACGTTAAAATTTGACAGTCAAACCTTCCGGTCCCGTGCACAAGTGTTTTTCTCATCAACGCAAAGAATCGGATTTTCTAATATCATCGATACCAGTACAAGTAGTCGCAGACGTCTCTTGGCCACACAGTAAGAAACTTTCTCACAACCTCTCCATACTCTCACAAGTGCGATTAAAGTTGAATAATGTCATCTATGCGAGAGTCTTTCTGTTTTGATGTTTTTGTTTAGTTTTTTCTTTAGATTTAAAAAAAAAAATTTGAAAAAATACCGCGCGTTATTATTTCAGCCAAGAAACATGTGTCAACCCGTTAAATTTAAAACTGTTGTAACTAAACTCTACTCCGCCTTTAGGACAGCTGCCTATACCTACGTGGTGAGCGACACACAAGCAGACGACATCGCTAACGTCAACACCGCCAAATCTTTCTTGACGGACACCGCCATTCTCAAGGTAAGATCTCGCCATACCAACTGTCTAGCAACAACAACACAAACGGTCTAGCAACTACAACAACATATGGCGTGAACACACTTTTGTCAAGACAATCATCGCACTCGATCCTCCATTTTAAACGGAGGATCGAGTGCGATGATTGTCTTGTATAATGACCTGAGCATGACATTCCCCTCTGTAGGTCCTGCAGCAGTCGTCAGACGGCACACCTGTCGTCGGCCTGTCGGACCAGCAGATCTTGCAGGTGGCCACCGTCTCGCCGTACCAGGAGTCGACGTCGTCTGACGCGTCAGATTTCGTCTCGTCCACCGGCGGCATCGTCATGTTCTGTCTGCTGGGTCTGTTGCTGGTCGCGGCGCTCGTGCTGCTCGTCGTCTGCTTGTGCCACAGGAAAAAGAGATCGGACCAAGTGTGAGTAGCACCGGTACTTGTGGGGTTGCTGCCCTTTGTAGGGTACTCACTTGTGACAATTATTTTAATATTGTAATGTATTTGTTATTAAATGGCTTGCATTATATGTTTTATTTTAATGACCAAATATTGTTGGAATTCAAATATCGATAACAAGATTAATGTATTTTTAAAAAACTTCAACAGAAAATTAATCAAGCGTGAGGAAGAGAAGAGGAAAGGTGAATAAATCGATCTCTTATCATTGATAGAATGTAAAAGACTTATCATCGATCTCTTATCATTGATAGAATGTAAAATACTTATCATCGATCTCTTATCATTGATAGAATGTAAAATACTTATCTAAATTTTTAAACTGGAAATTTCTATACACTCATTGTTTGTCAAATATTCACGTTGTTGTGCATGTTCATGTTGTCTCACCTGACCACTTTGTCACATTTGTTAATGTTGTCTTAAATGTTCATGTTGTCTCACGTAATAAGGTTGTCACGTTGTCTCACCTGTTCATGTTGTCTCGCCTCATCACGTCGTCACGTTGTCTTACATGTTCTCGTTGTCACACTGTCACATCTGTTCACAGAAAAGACGATCGGGTTTTTCCGCAGTCAGGAAACCAGCACACCGGTGAACCCCGGCAAAAAAATGTCGATCGAGTCCGGACCGCCCGGATACTCTGACATTTTCGTGGTCAACTCTACTCCACCTCTCTCCGCGGCCACTGTTGTAAGTCGCAAAAAGGAAGGTCCGAGAGTGGACAAACGGCCTACAGTGGACACACACGCAAACAAGACCTCAGTGGCGAGACCTGAGCCCCCTCAAGCGGTGACACAACAGGTTGAACCATCCAAGGTGGTGACACCTGGATCAGCAACAGCCAACACAGCAACAGCCAACACAGCCAACACAGCCAACAGCGAAACAGCCGCCATGAAAGAAGGCAGAGAGTCGAGCGAGTGGGCGATGAAAGCCCGACCAAGCGAGAAGTACAGCAGGCCGACCATTCAGGAGACCAAAAACAAAATCAGCCTCATCAAGTCCAGCGCCAGGAAGCCGGGGCCAAAGGTCAGTAAAGATGGCGGCAAGAACATACATTCGACACAGAAGAACTTAGGTAGCACTTCCGGTCTGAACCAAGGTCACACTTCCGGTCTGAACCAAGGTCACACCTCAGAGGTGAAGGCTGGCACGAGCACAGACGCAGACAATGACGTCAGTGAAAGAATTAAGAATGAGCCCGATGAAGCTGACACCCCTATAGACAATGGAACAGTCGAAGAAGATGAGTCCACACAGCAGAAAAGCCATGGGGTGGAAGCTAACCTTGATTGAATGCTACTACCAAATATGTGATGATTGATTGTTGTAAACAAATATTTGATATTTGATTGTTACTACTGTTAAAGCCTAACTTAAAGCCATTATTACATAATGTTACATTGTCGGCAGACCTGTGATATTACAAAACAAGGTTTCTGATGACTATATTTTAATGAGTAGTCAGCTTGTAAATATTTGTTGAGACTGTAATTTAAATTTTATGTTTCTTAATGTTTAATATTTCTCGATAGGAGGCTGTCCTTAAATGACGTCAAACTTTTTAAACCGACTGGTTGAGGTATATGGAAGTTTAGCTTGTACCCAAATAGACAGAGTCATATGTTTTATAAAAATGTCTCCAGGCCACATAGAATGGATGTTAAAAATGTCCACTACTGACCTCTCACTGACCGGTGCCTTAGGTCTTGTTGGTGTTAATTGTTGACCTTCAGACAAGACGATTGGTCAGAGGCTAGAGTTAGTTAAATTATCACAACCCCCATACCCCACCCTCCATCCCACCATTTTAAGAAATACTCTCCACCCCCTACCCCCTCCATAAAACTGACGTCTGTAAAAGAAGCCAATCTGTAATCACATAAACGACCGGCAAATCTTGTCTGAATAAAACGAGTTCTTTTTCGTCATTTCAATTGTGTTGTAGTCTTTCACTAAGGGGGGGGGGGGGGGGGGATTATTGGCTAAATCATGTGGGACCACATTTTATTGGCTAAATCATGTAGGACCACAACACTTTATTGGCTAAATCAGGGGTCTCCAAACGGTAAACGGAAAAAAAGTCACAGGAAAAAAAAACACAGAAAAAAAGTCACAGTTTTTGCTAGGAAAAAAAGTCACGGAAAAAAAGTCACAATGGAAAAATTTTATCGGAAAAAAAGTCACAGAAATAAAGTCACAGAAAAAAAAGTCACACAAATCTTTTTAGAAATATTTTGATTTATTTGTTAAGAATTGTAAAATTTTGTATGTTATTTTTGTGGGTTTTATTTTTTGATAGCATAAATTATTTATAGACCTTAAAAGTATTATGGTTTATAAAAATTGTAAGTAAAAATACTCTAAGATAATTTACACAACAATATTAACTTTTGTTACGTATTTAGTTACATACCCGGTAGAAAAGTTAACTATAAAAGAAATTTAGGCACATCATTGTGTTTTGCATGGGTTTTGCCGTAGGCTATTCTATGGTCGGCCTCTCCTCAGTCGGCATTGTCCGAACATATTTTGTGTTGTTGACGTTTTGTGTCAATGACAGCCTTTGAACCTCGTCGGCTCTCTGTTTTGATCCTAAGTTTTGTTATGTAATGAGCGTGATAAATGTGGGCAGTAAAGGTGGTTGAACTAAGCATAACTATTGTTGCGATGAGTTGAGGGCAGTAATTCAGATGACCTTACCATTTCACGGTAATTTAATTTTAAAAAAAAACACGATGAAAACCGTGGACATTCTATTAAATGCTATAAATATTATGTTTAACATAATTACAATCTACATAATTCATACTAAATATTTTTAGATGAATTATAAAAATTACTATACGTATACAACCTACACACATTACATTACATTTAATTAATCTTAAGTTAATTTGCACTCTCTGAATATTTAATACATAAAAGTATTAACAAATCCCATGCAAATATATATTTGTGACTTTTTTTCCTGTGACTTTTTTTCCTGTGACTTTTTTTCCTGTGACTTTTTTTCCTGTGACTTTTTTTCTGTTTTTTTTTTCCTGTGTTTTTTTTTCCTGTGACTTTTTTTCCTACAATCCTCCAAACTACGGCCCGCGGGCCGGATGCGGCCCGCGAAGTCCTCTCATCCGGCCCGCGGAGGTCTTTTTGTCTAAGGAAAAATCGTTTGTTGGTGATGGCTGAGGAACTTTGCCCAGAGAAATCAATGACATGCCTGGAAGTAACTGGCCCCCGAACTGAAATTTGATAGTTAATGCGGCCCTCGGTCTGAAAAGTTTGGAGACCCCTGGGCTAAATCATGCGGGACCACCACACTTTATTGGCTAAATCATGTGGGACCACAACACTTTATTGGCTAAATCATGTGGGACCACAACACTTTATTGGCTAAATCATGTGGAACCACAACAATTTATTTCCTAAATCATGTGGGACCACAACACTTTATTGGCTAAATCATGTGGGACCACAACACTTTATTGGCTAAATCATGTGGGACCACATTTTATTGGCTAAATCATGTGGGACCACACTTTATTGGCTAAATAATGTGGGACTACAACACTTTATTGGTAATTTACACACCACTCCAACTTAGACTGTAACTACTACAGTCTATGATGTAACTACTACAGTCTGTGATGTAACTACTACCGACTATGATGTAACTACTACAGTATGTGATGTAACTACTACAGACTATTATGTAACTACTACATTCTGTGATGTAACTACTACATTATGTGATGTAACTACTACAGTCTGTGATGTAACTACTACAGTCTGTGATGTAACTACTACAGTCTGTGATGTAACTACTACAGATTATGATGTAACTACTACAGACTGTGATGTAACCACTACAGTCTATGATGTAACAACTAAATCTGCTAAAAAAACAACCTACATCAATAAACACCAAACATTTTACAATGAAATCAAAATATTTCTTAAAACATTTTAGTGCCCTTTTTACTTTCTCGTATATACGAAGTATAGAGAAAGTCTTGTAATCGTGCAAAAAAAAAATTGACGTTTTACACCTCATTGATACGGAAAAACATAATTTTGCAATCTTGTCCATATGTCTGTGTGTCTGTCTGTCTGTCTGTCTGTCTGTCCGTGTAAACACGATAACTTGAGTATCGTTACAGCTAGGTTGATGAAATTTCATATATAAGTATTTTATCAAAATCGTAAATCCGTGTCAGCTTTTGAGCGATTTCCGATAACCGGAAGTGGTACTTTTCCTACTTGGAATTTTTCAAAAGCCTATAACTTGAGTACTATTTCAGATAGATAAATGATATTTTACATGTAAGTAAAAGATCTAATTCTCTACCTTCTGTTAAATTTTGAATAATTTCCGTTGACTGGAAGTAGTAATTTACGCTACTTCCGATTTTTCAAAAAACTAATGTAAATTTTTAAAGTACTAATAATATTGCGCACTATTATGCACTTTCTTTTTTATTTAGCGTTCACTCGGTGTGCAATTCTTTTGTCTACGAGATTTTATTCTATTTTTAAAACTTTAAGTATTTAAAATGGATTAAAAATCATGTCTATAGCCCGAGTTCCCATCGCCTGTTATTTTATATTAAAATATTCGAGAAAGTTTAGGGGAGATCACTCCCGGTTTATTTGTGACTTTATTTCTGTGACTGTTTTCCCGATAAAATTTTTCATTCGTCAATTTTTGTCTGTTTTTTTTTTCTGTGACATTTTTTTTTCATTCACCCCCTTGCCCGACCCCACCAGTACCAACTTCAGTTTCTTCTCGCCAGTGGCGTTATCTGTACGGTGAACACTTTTTCAAACAGACCGATGTGTCACAACAGATCGATGTATTTATCAGATCCTATCGATTGATTTTCTGATTTGTTATGTGTATCACCTCAAAGCTTACAGTAAAAGCTCGGTGATAAGTGTCACGTCGATCCTAGCAGTACAAAATACAAAATTGTGGGTTTTACTTCGGAGGGGTGGACTAAACTTTCCGGGTGGGGGGGGGGGGGGTAAAAGTCACTGGTAAAAGTATATATTTTCTATATAAATTACATTTCGTTCGGGGAGAGGGGAGGTGGTAGACTTTTTCTTAGGAGGGGCGAATTGTATGTGAATAAGTTTTGAATTATCTTTTAAGTGTTTTCAAAAAACTTTGATCGGGATAGTGTTACTATCCGATCAAAGTTTTTTGAAAACACTTAAAAGATAATTCAAAACTTATTCACATACAATCTTCAAAATAATTGCTTTTCTTTTGTTGTAATTTCCAAATATTGATTGGGCGAATCGGATGCAAGTTAACAAAAATCGTCTGCTAAAATCGTCTGCTAAAATCGTCAGCTCACCGTTGTGACTCTCAGAGATTTCCATCGGTGTGTGTGTTAGTAGTCACAGTAAGAAAATGTCACAAAATACAATTAGCATGCGATGATACAATCAGTTCATTAGTTAGGCTGCAGTTTACATGCATGATACAATCAGTTCATTAGTTAGGCTACAGTTTACATGCGATGATACAATCAGTTCATTAGTTAGGCTACAGTTTACATGCGATGATACAATAGGTTCATTAGTTAGGCTACAGTTTACATGCGATGATACAATAGGTTCATTAGTTAGGCTACAGTTTACATGCGATGATACAATAGGTTCATTAGTTAGGCTACAGTTTACATGCGATGATACAATCAGTTCATTAGTTAGGCTACAGTTTACATGCGATGATACAATCAGTTCATTAGTTAGGCTACAGTTTACATGCGATGATACAATAGGTTCATTAGTTAGGCTACAGTTTACATGCATGATACAATCAGTTCATTAGTTAGGCTACAGTTTACATGCGATGATACAATAGGTTCATTAGTTAGGCTACAGTTTACATGCGATGATATAATAGGTTCATTAGTTAGGCTACAGTTTACATGCGATGATACAATAGGTTCATTAGTTAGGCTACAGTTTACATGCGATGATACAATAGGTTCATTAGTTAGGCTACAGTTTACATGCGATGATACAATAGGTTCATTAGTTAGGCTACAGTTTACATGCGATGATACAAAATTGTGTCAGTCTTATTATGAGCGTTTTGACCAGCCTTTTTATTTTTGGTGGTAAACTGAGTTCATCGGTCTTTCCCCCCAAAGCTTTGGTCTCCCCCCCCCCCCCCCCAACAACTTTGGTCTTTCCCCCCCAACAACTTTGGTCTTCCCCCCCTCCCCCCCCCCCCCTCCAACAACTTTCGTCTTTTCGCCCAACAACTTAAATAAGTTGTCAATAAAATACTGGCGCAAAAAAAAAAAAAAAAATCTCTCAAAAAAAAAGAAGAAAAACTTTTCAACTTGCAAAAAAAACAGTTTTTTAAACAAAATCAAGCATTTTTTTTATTTTGTGTATAAAAAATAATTACTATAATCTTGTTACTGTAAAAAGTTTCTAATTTTTTTACTATATTGAAATTTTATAAGCAGACTTTCTCTAAATTCTAATTTTGTGTAGGCCTACCATCGAACTAAAAATAATATTTCTCTAGCATTAGCCAATCACTGTGGAGCAGAGAAAAAGTAATTAAATGTCAATCTAACGTAGACAGACCAGGCCCACGCCTGCGGCGTCTAGTCATCCGGTCAGTTGAGTAGACGGGAGAGTTTTGACACCGACGGTCATCCGGTCAGTTGGGTAGACGGGAGTTTGACACCGACGGTCATCTGGTCATTTGGGTAGACGGGAGAGTTTTGACACCGACGGTCATCCGGTCAGTTGGGTAGACGGGAGGTTGATCACAACGGTCATTTGGTCATCGTTTTATAAATTTAACGTAGGCCTGAATTACTTCTTCTTTAGTTGATATGTTAGCGACGTCAGCATTAGTTGATGTGTTAGTGACGTCAGCATTAGTTAATGTGTTAGTGACGTCAGCGTTAGTTAATGTGTAAGTGACGTCAGCGTTAGTTGATGTGTTAGTGACGTCAGCGTAAGTTAATGTGTAAGTGACGTCAGCGTTAGTTGGTGTGTTAGTGACGTCAGCATTAGTCGATGTGTTAGTGACGTCAGCGTTAGTTAATGTGTAAGTGACGTCAGCGTTAGTTAATGTGTTAGTGACGTCAGCGTTAGTTGATGTGTTAGTGACGTCAGCGTTAGTTGATGTGTTAGTGACGTCAGCGTTAGTTGATGTGTTAGTGACGTCAGCGTTAGTTGATGTGTTAGTGACGTCTGCGTTAGTTGATGTGTTAGTGACGTCAGCGTTAGTTGATGTGTTAGTGACGTCTGCGTTAGTTAATGTGTTAGTGACGTCAGCGTTAGTTGATGTGTTAGTAACGTCAGCGTTAGTTGATGTGTTAGTGACGTCAGCGTTAGTTGATGTGTTAGTGACGTCAGCGTTAGTTGATGTGTTAGTGACGTCAGCGTTAGTTGATGTGTTAGTGACGTCAGCGTTAGTTAATGTGTTAGTGACGTCAGCGTTAGTTGATGTGTTAGTGACGTCTGCGTTAGTTGATGTGTTAGTGACGTCAGCGTTAGTTGATGTGTTAGTGACGTCAGCGTTAGTTGATGTGTTAGTGACGTCAGCGTAAGTTAATGTGTTAGTGACGTCAGCGTTAGTTGATGTGTTAGTGACGTCAGCGTTAGTTGGTGTGTTAGTGACGACAGCATTAGTTGATGTGTTAGTGACGACAGCGTTAGTTGATGTGTTAGTGCCGCCAGTTTTGGTTGACATGTTAGTCACGTGACTGATAAAGAAAAACAAACCCCGTCGTTACGAGGAGAGTCTTGTGGCTAGAAAGTCGGTACACAAACAGAAGCCGTTTAGTGCAGCAGTAAGTAGATCAGCGCCGTCTGCTTCAAACCTGCGGACGACCAAAAACCTTTCTAGGCATTAGGGACGGTAAAACGCTTGCCGATATGGGAGGGTTTATGAAATACCACGCTCTCATTTGTGTAATCCTGGTGGACAGTTTGGGTAGGATTTTCTAAAATTAATTAACTTTTTACTAATTTTAATTGCTTAACTTCGTTTTCTTTTTAAAAAATCAATTCAATCATACCATCGAATATATGACAAGCAAAAAAATACGAACATTTAAGCCAATACTTGCTGTAATGTTTTCACACTGCTTTCTTTGTGATTAAGTGTGATTAAATATTTTTGTTGTAGAATGATAAATTGATAAAACTTAAGTACACAATCAGATACAATTACACGTACATGTGATGTAAGAACTAACACCTTCTTTCCTTATTTGGACAAAACTTACTTTGGCAGTGAGTGGTACACCAGAGGCGTAGCTACGGGGGGGCGGGGAGGGCGGCCGCCCCGGGCGCCGACCCTAGGGGGGCGCCAAAAGGGGTAAAAAAATAAAAATTAAAAGCTCATTTAAGCAGCAGTTTTGAATTATAAACTGTCAAAGTTAAGAAATTTAACGGCCACAAGCCTTTACATGCTGATGTAACTGTTTTCCAACTTGATTATGTAATTGTAAAACAAACTCATAAGAAACAGTGACCGGAAAAAACTGCTTTCCAGCTTTTTGCTATACGGGGGGGGGGGGGGGGGGGGGGGGCGCTTTTTCGAAGAAAAAATTGGAAAAATTTACACTGGATTAATGAGTTGATAAACGTTACCACTTATAAAAGAAACCAAATGTAGGAAAACGCACAGTACGATTGTGTACCATTAAAAAAAGAGTTAGCGACGTATAAACCCTGCTCTACAACTTTGTCCAAGACGGTGCGGGGGGAAGGGGGTGTTGTTGGCGCTTTTTCGCCAACAAAAATTGAAGGTACCGAACCCCACCAGTTTCATACGCGCATTCACCAAACCCTTCTTAGTAGATGTATCGTCCACACTGACAAAATCAGATCGTGAATCATATGAGTCAGTTTGTGTCTTGACCTCCACGGAAACCCGGAGACTGACCTACCGAACCTCTTGGGTTCGATGGAACCCATTGTTCTAAACGCTTTTGATTTTCTTCTTTTTATTCGTTTCGTCTTCCCACGGAACATAGGCGTAGGCAACACTTCGTCAACTCACTTGATTTTTATCAAAGATCAATCCTTAATAATCCGACCTCCCCCTACTCTATTTCAAACGATTTTCTTCGTGACTTATATGGTCCTTTCCTCTTCCTCTTTACCCGTGGACTTTACACAAGCACCTGTTTAGAGGGTTTATTTTCTGTCTTTCTCATATTGTGTCCTAACCACCACCTTTTCATTCTCCACTGTCTGTAGCCGAACTCCGTGCCATACAGTAAAATAGACTTCATATTTCGCTGTACATGCTGATTGAATGCTTTTCAATTCCACATTCGCTTAGAATGTTAATACACATTTTACCGCGGTTGATTCTAATCTGAACGTCATAGGCGGTGCCACTTTATTTAAACGTTTATTACTGCTTCTTCGACCAGTACAATTTATTATGCATTTTGTGTTGACTATGTGCGAGAAAGAAGCTCACATCTGCAAAATCAAAGACTTCCGTTGGATTCCAGTTTGTTTCCTCTAGCTTGTTTCTTTATACAGTCAACCAATGTCGTATTCCAATGAGTACAATAAATGTGTCTGATTTTGCTATTGTATGTCAATTGTATTACCTAAATCTAACAAAGTTATAATCCAACTAGGTAACATATGATAAAAGATTATATATATATATATATATATATATATATATATATATATATATATATATATATATATATATATATATATATATATATATATATATATGGCGGGGGGGGGGGGGCGCCAAACTGAAATTTCGCCCCGGGCGCCGAGAGGGGTCGCTACGCCTCTGTGGTACACATCTCCTAACTAACACACCAACTACCATATGGGTACCAGAAGACATACCTGTAGGATCAAGAATTTTTAACTTTACAAATGATGCAGGAATGCACGTTTTTTGTCAAATTACAGGTAAAACTTATTTTTTACCTAAACTTGTATATTACTTGTTTTTGTTTTAAACTTGTTCTGCGTATTAGGTGAAAATGTTTTGGGTGAAAATGTTATTAACTTGCTAATGATGTCTATACGTCAAACAAAACATTACAATTTGTGAACAGGTTGTATCACATATGTGCCAATGTTTGGTGTACTTGTCCCATGTTTGGTGTACTTGTCCCATGTTTGGTGTACGTGTCCCATGTTTGGTGTACTTGTCCCATGTTTGATGTACTTGTCCCATGTTTCCATGTTTGGTGTACTTGTCCCATGTTCCCATGTTTGATGTACTTGTCCCATGTTCCCATGTTTGGTGTAATGTCCCATGTTTGGTGTACTTGTCCCATGTTTGGTGTACTTGTCCCATGTTTGGTGTACTTGTCCCATGTTCCCATGTTTGGTGTACTTGTCCCATGTTTGATGTACTTGTCCCATGTTTGATGTACTTGTCCCATGTTTGATGTACTTGTCCCATGTTTGGTGTACTTGTCCCATGTTTGGTGTACTTGTCCCATGGTTTACCTGTCCCTTGTCCCAAATCTTCCAAATGTTTTGATCACGTGACCAGCTGGAAATGAAGCGAGACGGTTTGCCATGGACATGGACAAGTGCGAGATCTACACGGCTGGACGTCTGGACTACGAGAACCCGAGCGGCAGACGTTACAATCTGACCATAAGGGCCAGCTCAGGAACAGGGACGAAGAGGGGCTCAGACTTTTTAAATATTGACGTCACCGATGTGAATGACAACACACCGGTAGGGTCACGTGGTCTAGTTCAGAGTTTCTTCGAGGCATCTCTTCGGAGCCCCCCCCCCCCCCCTGCCCCAAAGAAAGTCTACCCCGAACGAGATGGATTTTTTTAGTAAACATACACTTTTACTAGAATCCGCCCCCTTGAAAAATATTGACCCCCCCCCCCGAAAATTTGGTAAACGGAAAAAAAGTCACAGGAAAAAAAAAACACAGAAAAAAGTCACACTTTTTGCTAGGAAAAAAAATCACAGAAAAAAAGTCACAGTGGAAAAATTTTATCGGAAAAAAGTCACAGAAATAGTCACAGAAAAAAAGTCACAAAAATCTTTTTAGAAATATTTTTATTAATTTGTTAAGAATTGTAAAATTGTGTATGTTTATTGTTGTGGGTTGTATTTTTTTATAGCATAAATTATTTATAGACGTTAAAAGCATTATGATTCATAACAACTGTAAGTAAAAATATTCTAAGATAATTAACACAACAATCTCAACTTTTGTTACGTATTTAGTTAAATACGCGGTAGAAAAGTTAATTATAAAAGATATTTAGGCACATTTTGCCTTAGGCTATTCTCCGGTCGGCCTCTCCTCAGTAGGCATTGTCCGAACATATTTTGTGTTGTTGACGTTATGCGTCAATGACAGCCTTTGAACCTTGTCGGCTTTCTGTTTTGATCCTAAGTTTTGTTATGTAATGAGCGTGATACATGTGGGCAGTTAAGGTGGTTGAACTAAACATAACTATTGTTGCCATGAGTTGAGGACAGCAAGTCAGATGAACTTACCATTTCACGGTAATTTAATGGTATTTAAAAATAACACGATGAAAAACGTGGACTTTGGAGCATTCTATTAAATGCTACTAATCTTAAGTTTAAAATACTTACAATCTACATACTTCATAATAAATATTTTTAGATGAATTATAAAAATTCCTATGCGTATACAGCCTACACACATTACATTACATTTAATTAATCCTAAGTTAATTTGCACTCTCTAAATATTTAATACATAAAAGTATTAACAAATATCATGCAAATATATATTTGTGACTTTTTTTCCTGTGACTTTTTTTCCTACAATCGAAAATTTCAAGTGCCCCCGGAGAAAAAAGTCTGGAAGAAACACTGGTCTAGTTGTTGTCTAGTTGTGGTCTAGTTGTGGTCTAGTTGTGGTCATGTGGTCTAGTTGTGGTCTAGTTGTGATCTAGTTGTGGTCTTGTTGTGGTCTAGTTGTGGTTAACATTGGTTTGTCTCCACATGTATGTGCCCCATGACGTCAACAGACGTGCGACAACTACACTGTCTTTGGCTCGTTGCACGAGGACGCGGCGAGTGGAACAAGTTTCGCTCAACTCGCGTGTCGTGATGTTGATTCGTATGATAAACGAGGGCTTCACTATAAAGTTATAGCTGGTATGTCTAAACCTTGTAGCTGGTCTGTCTAAAACTTGTAGCTGGTCTGTCTAAAACTTGTAGCTGATCTGTCTAAACCTTGTAGCTGGTCTGTCTAAAACTTGTAGCTGGTCTGTCTAAAACTTGTAGCTGGTCTGTCTAAAACTTGTAGCTGGTCTGTCTAAACCTTGTAGCTGGTCTGTCTAAAACTTGTAGCTGGTCTGTCTAAAACTTGTAGCTGGTCTGTCTAAAACTTGTAGCTGGTCTGTCTAAACCTTGTAGCTGCTCTGTCTAAAACTTGTAGCTGGTCTGTCTAAAACTTGTAGCTGGTCTGTCTAAAACTTGTAGCTGGTCCGTCTAAAACTTGTAGCTGGTCTGTCTAAAACTTGTAGCTGGTCTTTCTAAACCTTGTAGCTGGTCTTTCTAAACCTTGTAGCTGGTATGACATGACAGGTGATGTTGATGACATCGAGATAGACGGTCAGACAGCGAAACTGAAACAACGAATCACCAGCCACCTAAAGGGCCACACACGCCAGGTGACAGTACAGGTGAGAGATAGAGCTCGACCGCCTCACACCACCAACGTCACAGTCGTCCTTCACCTTCAACACGTCCAGGTGCCCAAGTTTAACACATCCCAGTATCATAAAGGTAGGTCATATTGTCATGTATAGGTAGGTCATATTGTCATGTATAGGTAGGTCATATTGTCATGTATAGGTAGGTCATATTGTCGTGTCTAGGTAGGTCATATTGTCGTGTCTAGGTAGGTCTAATTGTCATGTCTAGGTAGGTCATATTATTTTAACCAGAGCTTGGTTTTGATCATTGTGCTAGCGATGTCAAAATAAAAATCTTGACCAAATACGTCAAGGCCATCTGATAGAGGGATCTAATATTGTTTTGGCAAAAAAATTTTTACAATTCATGTTGAGATATATACTTGGTCATTGGAAATCAAAATAGCTATAATATTTTTTATATGTAAGCATTTGTGTGAGAACACACCGATTTACCATTGATAACACACCTGAGCTCCCACACCAAATGTTTCTCAGAGCTCTCTGAAAACTCGACTGTTGGAACAACTGTTCTGGTTGTCACCGCTACCGATGGAGGCGCCCCTAGTGGAGGCGCCCCTGGAACCCGAAACTCACAGATCACCTACAGCTTACAATGTCAGCCTGACCTACTACTGGTCGACAGCGTCACAGGTAAGCATCAACACCTGTCTCACTGTCTCGCCGGCTAGACAACACCACAACCACACAACCAGCCACGGCTAGACAACACCACAACCACACAACCAATCAAGCCACGGTTAGACAGCACCACAACCACACAACCTACCACGGCTAGACAACACCACAACCACACAACCAGCCACGGCTAGACAACACCACAACCACACAACCAATCAAGCCTCGGTTAGACAGCACCACAACCACACAACTACACAACCACACAACTACACAACCACACAACTACACAACCACACAACTACACAACCACACAACTACACAACCACACAACCAACCACGGCTAGACAACACAACAACCACACAACCAACCACGGCTAGACAACACCACAACCACACAACCAATCAAAACACGGCTAGACAACACCACAACCACACAACCAATCAAGCCTCGGTTAGACAGCACCACAACCACACAACATCACAACCACACAACTACACAACCACACAACTACACAACCACACAACTACACAACCACACAACCAACCACGGCTAGACAACACCACAACCACACAACCAACCACGGCTAGACAACACCACAACCACACAACCAATCAAGCCACGGTTAGACAGCACCACAACCACACAACCAACCACGGCTAGACAGCACCACAACCACACAACCAACCACGGCTAGACAACACCACAACCACACAACTAGACAAACCACGGCTAGACAACACCACAACCACACAACTAGACAACCACACAACCACACAACCAAACAAACCACGGCTAGACAACACCACAACCACACAACTAGACAACCACACAACCAAACAAACCACGGCTACAGCGGGCTCTAGCTTTTTTACCTGCTCGTCTACCTTCATGTATCTGTCACCTTTAGATCATCAGTCACGTGATGCCCTTATTTTCTCACCTGTACCCAGGTGCTGTGGTCACCAAGTCAACGCTGGACACCAGGGCTAGTCAAAACATCAGCTGTACTGTCCACGCCCGGTCATGGACGTCAGGGAAAACCTCGACGGCAAAACTTGACGTGGTCGTAAATGACGTCAACGACCTGAGACCAGTTTTTAACCAGGTAACCACAGGTGACATGGTCTATAACCGGGTAACCACAGGTGACATGATGGTCTATAACCAGGTAACCAGAGGTCACATGATGGTCTATAGCCAGGTAACCACAGGCGACATGATGGTCTATAACCAGGTAACCACAGGTGACATGGTCTATAACCAGGTAATCACAGGTAACATGATGGTCTATAACCAGGTAACCACAGGTGACATGATGGTCTATAACCAGGTAACCACAGGTGACATGGTCTATAACCGGGTAACCACAGGTGACATGATGGTCTATAACCAGGTAATCACAGGTAACATGATGGTCTATAACCAGGTAATCACAGGTCACATGATGGTCTATAACCAGGTAACCAGAGGTCACATGATGGTCTATAGCCAGGTAACCACAGGCGACATGATGGTCTATAACCAGGTAACCACAGGTGACATGGTCTATAACCAGGTAATCACAGGTAACATGATGGTCTATAACCAGGTAACCACAGGTGACATGATGGTCTATAACCAGGTAACCACAGGTGACATGATGGTCTATAACCAGGTAACCAGAGGTGACATGATGGTCTATAACCAGGTAACCACAGGTGACATGATGGTCTATAACCAGGTAACCACAGGTGACATGGTCTATAACCGGGTAACCACAGGTGACATGATGGTCTATAACCAGGTAATCACAGGTAACATGATGGTCTATAACCAGGTAATCACAGGTCACATGATGGTCTATAACCAGGTAACCAGAGGTGACATGATGGTCATAGCCAGGTAACCAGAGGTAACATGATGGTCTATAGCCAGGTAACCACAGGTGACATGATGGTCTATAGCCAGGTAACCACAGGTGACATGATGGTCTATAGCCAGGTAACCACAGGTGACATGATGGTCTATAACCAGGTAATCACAGGTAACATGATGGTCTATAGCCAGGTAACCAGAGGTCACATGATGGTCTATAACCAGGTAACCACATGTGACATGATGGTCTATAGCCAGGTAACCACAGGTGACATGATGGTCTATAGCCAGGTAACCACAGGTGACATGATGGTCTATAGCCAGGTAACCACAGGTGACATGATGGTCTATAGCCAGGTAACCACAGGTGACATGATGGTCTATAACCAGGTAACCACAGGTGACATGATGGTCTATAGCCAGGTAACCACAGGTGACATGGTCTATAACCAGGTAATCACAGGTAACATGATGGTCTATAACCAGGTAACCACAGGTGACATGATGGTCTATAGCCAGGTAACCACAGGTGACATGATGGTCTATAACCAGGTAACCACAGGTGACATGATGGTCTATAACCAGGTAACCACATGTGACATGATGGTCTATAGCCAGGTAACCACAGGTGACATGATGGTCTATAGCCAGGTAACCACAGGTGACATGATGGTCTATAGCCAGGTAACCACAGGTGACATGGTCTATAACCAGGTAATCACAGGTAACATGATGGTCTATAACCAGGTAACCACAGGTGACATGATGGTCTATAGCCAGGTAACCACAGGTGACATGATGGTCTATAATAAGCCTTATGGTCGGGGAGGGGGGGGGGACTTCTAGACGCAAGTGACATCCTCATCTGAATCTCTAACACAAGGCTCTAACTTGAATCTTCTCACACAGACCCTGCCATACCAGGCTAGAATGTTCGAGAACGCCACCAATGGTTCGCTGGTGACTTGTGTGCTTGCGACGGACGGGGACACAGGATTGGACGGGACTGTCCGATATTCGCTGGACGGGGGTATGCTCTGAGTTCTGATATTCGCTGGACGGGGGTATGTTCTGAGTTCCTATTTAATTCCTAACTTCATTCTTTACTTGGTCATAACATCAATTTTTTTCTAAGTTGGTCTTTTTACTTGATCGTAACACGTGTATTTCTTTCAAACAATTTTCTCCCATGGGAGCACTTGAAACTTTCGGGGAGGGGGGGGGGAACGGAAGCTGGCTAAAGTATCTTTCTATACATTTTTTTACAGCCCCCCCCCCTCTTCGTCCTGGGGTGAAAGAAACTCTACATTACACTTATATCGCTTTTTAAAATGCTAAGTTCAACTAGACATTCACGCCAATCGTGAATAGAGTTAAACCTACCTACCGACAATAGAGTTAAACCTACCTACCGACAATAGAGTTAAACCTACCTACCGACAATAGAGTTAAACCTACCTACCGACAATAGAGTTAAACCTACCTACCGACAATAGAGTTAAACCTACCTACCGACAATAGAGTTAAACCTACCTACCGACAATAGAGTTAAACCTACCTACCGACAATAGAGTTAAACCTACCTGCCGACAATAGAGTTAAACCTACCTGCCGACAACCCATGGAGATAAACCTTAATCCTCTCACGTCCTCTCACTAACCACAGCTAGCAGTCTGTTTGTTATCAACGACACGACGGGTGAGGTCAGATTAAATGGACAGTTGGACTACGAGATCATGACGTCACACCTCGTCGTAGTTGTAGCCGAGGATCAGGGCTTGCCGCCAAAAAGTAGTTCCGCTTTTCTTCAGGTGGGTAAGGTGACGTCAGGTGACCTATTGTGTGATGACGTCACGTGCGTGACTGGGTTCTATTAACCCTAACTAACCCACTAACTCGGGCGCGTTAAGTTTTAGGACACTACACTGGGCGTAGGTCAACTCATGCAGATATTTTTGTGCAGGTTATTGTGGAGCCAGTGAATGAACATACACCTGTGTTCCACCACACCAACCTGTCGTTCTCGGTGCCAGAGGATACTAAACCAGGTGAGACAACTCACTTAAACCAGGTGAGACAACTCACTTAAACCAGGTGAGACAACTCACTTAAACCAGGTGAGACAACTCACTTAAACCAGGTGAGACAACTCACTTAAACCAGGTGAGACCTGTGAGATAAACCAGGTGAGGCAACTCACTTAAACCAGGTGAGACAACTCATTTAAACCAGGTGAGACAACTCACTTAAACCAGGTGAGACAACTGACTTAAACCAGGTGAGACAACTCATTTAAACCAGGTGAGACAACTCACTTAAACCAGGTGAGACAACTCATTTAAACCAGGTGAGACAACTCACTTAAACCAGGTGAGACAACTCACTTAAACCAGGTGAGACAACTCACTTAAACCAGGTGAGACAACTCACTTAAACCAGGTGAGACAACTCACTTAAACCAGGTGAGACAACTGACTTAAACCAGGTGAGACAACTGACTTAAACCAGGTGAGACAACTGACTTAAACCAGGTGAGACAACTCACTTAAACCAGGTGAGACAACTGACTTAAACCAGGTGAGACAACTGACTTAAGCCAGGTGAGACAACTCACTTAAACCAGGTGAAACAACTCACTTAAACCAGGTGAGACAACTCACTTAAACCAGGTGAGACAACTCACTTAAACCAGGTGAGACAACTCACTTAAACCAGGTGAGACAACTCACTTAAACCAGGTGAGACAACTCACTTAAACCAGGTGAGACAACTCACTTAAACCAGGTGAGACAACTCACTTAAACCAGGTGAGACAACTCACTTAAACCAGGTGAGACTACTAACTTAAGCAGTGAAACACTATCCTGCCCACCTTTTAATTAAACACACCCTACCGCGTATGGAGGATTACCTGTGATTATAATTACAAGTGTAATTAATTTTCTTTTAATATAAATTTTACGCCATGTTTTAAAGTAGGTTTGTAGATTTGGTTTAGTTTATTACCACGTATGTGTGATTAGCATCGATACCCACACTATTCGATTCTCCCATTACGTGTAATCGCATCTTTATTTCAGGGATGCCGGTGTTTAGGTTGAACGTAACCGATGCTGATGCCGGTGACGATGGTGTCATCCAGTACTCGATCATCTCTAGTGACAAACCGATACCGTTTTTAGTGGATCAATTCTCAGGTAATAGAGTAGTCGAGTACTTGTCATCTGACACAGATATTCGAGTAAAATATGCCATTAAAACTCGATTACAGAAAGTATGAATACAGAGTCGAGTTCAGATAGTTGATAACTGCATACACAAAAGGTGGTGACTACCTGCAGGGTAATTAATTATAAAACACTTAATTAAAAGTAATTTGACCTCTGACCTTGACCTCTGACCTTGAGCTCTGACCTGCAGGTGTTGTACGTTTGGCCAACACACCACTGGACTATGAGACACGGAAGACGTACAGCTTTCTAATTTTGGCCACTGACAAGTCAAGCAATCCTCGGTCAGCCACGGTAATGCTGTATGGTATGACAGATGCTGTATGGTATGACAGATGCTGTATGGTATGACAGATGCTGTATGGTATGACATATGATGTATGGTATGACATATGCTGTATGGTATGACAGATGTTGTATGGCATGACAGATGCTTAAGGTATGACAGATGCTGTATGTTATGACAGATGTTGTATGGCATTACAGATGGTGTATGACATGACAGATGCTGTATGGTATGACAAATGTTGTATGGCATGACAGATGCTGTATGATTTGATAGATGTTGTTTGATATGTGCTCTATGACATAACATGATAAATGTTGTACGACAGGATTTGACATATGCTGTATGATATGACATGCTGCATGACATGACGGATGTTGTATTGCCCTGAGTCCAGCCTTGATTGACCACTGTTGACCACATGTACATCTGTTTTATGACAAAACGAGCCGACCCGCTGCGTATCATACGCCGCTATTTAGTTGTTGTTTTTTCTACTTTTCAGTAATTCTTAATTTGTGAATTCGACAGTACCAATACTGCCACTGAATATATTTACTTTAAAACACTATCAGTAGCTCGCTAAGGACGATAACTCCCCCCCCCCCACCTCCTTTCCCCAACCCCTTATCCCCCCCCCCTCTCGTGAAAGCAGTCTCCTCTTAGTTACCTCCCCTAAGTTTAAAATCGTTTCAAACTAAATTATCTGCCCTCAACAGTACAAATGCTGCCACTATAAATATTTGCTTTAAAACACTAACCCCCCCCCCTTCCCCCAACCCCTACCCTACACCCCCCCCCCCCCCCGTGAAAGCAGCCTCCTCTTAGTTACCTCCTTTAAAGTTTAAAATAGTTTCAAACTAAATTATCTGCCCTTAATAGCCGTCACTAAACCCGGATTGTAAACCTTTATCGTGAACTACAACTCACCAGACCATGTGGGGGTGGGGGCGGTAGTGATAGAGAGAAAGAGAGGAGACTGCAAGGCGCGCTTGCAGCTTGTTTTCTAGCGTCTCCCAGAAGAGAATTATATATACGAGCCGACCCGCTGCGTATCATACGCCGCTATTTAGTTGTTTTTTTTTCTACTTTTCAGTAATTCATAATTTGTGAATTCGACAGTACCAATGCTGCCACTAAAAATATTTGCTTAAAAACACTAAACCCCCCTTCCCCCCCCCCCCCCCAAGTGAAAGCGGCCTTCTCTTAGATACCTCCTCTTAGTTTAAAATCGTTTCAAACTAAATTATCTGCCCCTAATAGCCGTCACCAAACCCGGCTCTATGATTGTAAAATGTAAACAGCGTGAACCACAGTTCACCAGACTATGTGAGGGGGGTGGGGGTGGCGATAGAGAGGAAGAGAGGGGACTGTAAGGCGCGCTTGCAGCTTGTTTTCTAACGTCTCCCAGAAGAGAATTATATATAGAGATAGATAGATAAGCGTGTCCTGTGGAAGGTTTAGCTTGAAAGATTCTTGTGGACAAAGATCATTATAAATTCTTCACGACAAAATTTCTCAAAAATTTAAAACACTAATTTTTTTATTTCTTTTTCTTATTCACCCCAACTTTTTAAAAATCAATATCCAACTTTGGTTCAACAACAAACAATATTTTCACAACATACAACTTTCCTCAGCAAACTTTGACAGCCTACGTGAGTGACGTCACAGACTGGTCGATCACCTGCCTGCCAGTCCCACCTGTGGTCGTCAGGTACCCCGTGTCTAACGGCTCCAGCCTGGCGCGTGTCTCATGTAGCTGGGGAGACCCACCAGGGGGGACGTTTAACTACAGCATTGATGAGGGGAACCAGGACGGGATGTTTGAGGTAAGGGAACCAAGACGGGATCTTTAGGGGAACCTAGACGGGATGTTTAAGGTAGGGGAACCAGGACGGGATCTTTAGGGGAACCTAGACGGGATGTTTGAGTTAAGGGAACCTAGACGGGATGTTTGAGTTAAGGGAACCAAGACGGGATGTTTAGGGGAAACAATACGGGGTGTTTAGGGGATGTTACGACGCTTCTCTACCACTGGTAAAGATAACGCACGACCCGAATTCTTTAGGATGGTTGTAGACTGATGACTTACGAAACTAAAAGATTACCAGACAACAAAAACTCTCCGTGGACTCGGATATAATGTCTAGGGTAAAAACACGAAGACCTTCTGCAACTAATAATACTTTTAATCAATTCACAACCGTTTAATATGTATACAAGTCCAAATAATAAACTCTAGATTCTATGTAACATATTAGAAATATACAAATAATGAAAGACCCAACTTACGAGTTGAAGAATAAAACAATGAAACTGCTAACACTGGATAAGGTACTTAAGTAATCAACACAACCTACACGATATTAAATTGAGGCACAGAAAAATACTTAATACACAAGTAATTAGGGAAAAATGCTGCTTAACTTATAAAATACAATATGGCGTCGTACATGGCATTCTCTCTCGGTAAATGTCTGGTCATCTACCACGAGGGAGGAAAATTCCTGATGTATATATAGGACCCCAGAATTACGGGATGTCCATCTCAAAGTCAAAGACTATTGGGTTGGAAATAGCCAAAGCACTAGCCAAGCGAAATCATTGGTGAATCTTATCACGTGATGAAAAATTTCTTTGGATTGCACCACAGACCACTTAAGGCCAATTAAATATAAAATAAAAAAATTAAATAATAAAAATAAACCAGGAGTGATCTCCCCTAAACTTTCTCGAATATTCTTATTAAAAAAAAGGGGGATGGGAATTCCATTTTAAATACTTAAAGTTTTTAAAATAGAACAAAATCTCGTAGAAAAAAGAATTGCACACCAAGTGAACGCCAAATGAAATGTGCATAATAGTGCGTAATATTATTATTACTTTATAAATTTATATGTGTTTTTTGAGAAATCGGAAATAGCGTAAATTTGTACTTCCGATCAACGGAAATTACTCAAAATTTGACAGTAGGTAGAGAATTAGATTTTTTACTTACATGTAAAATTTCATTCATCTATCTGAAATAGTACTCAAGTTATAGGCTTTTGAAAAATTCAAAGTAGAAAAAGTACCACTCCCGGTTTTCGGAAATCGCTCAAAAGTTGATACGGATCTACGATTTTGATAAAATACTTATATATGAAATTTCATCAACCTAGCTATAACGGTACTCAAGTTATCGTGTTTACACACACACTCACAGACACACACATAAAGACACACAGACATATGGACAAGATTGCAAAATTATGTTTTTCCGTATCAGTGAGGTGTAAAACGTTGAGATTTGTAAAAATCTCACTTTTTTTTTGCACGATTACAAGACTTTCTCTATACTTCGTATATACGAGAAAGTAAAAAGACCTAAGTAGGTCACAGGGAACCAGGACGGGATGTTAAGGGGAACCAAGACGAGATGTTTGAGGTAGGGGAACCAAGACGGGATGTTTGAGGTAGGGGAACCAAGACGGGATGTTTGAGGTAGGGGAGACGTCCTGTGACGTTAAAGCACCTACCCTGTGTTACGTGCGGCGTATCAGACGTGTTACTGTTCTTGATCGGAAGTTTCAGTTGTGTAACTCTACATCTCCCAAATGTTCAACTCTTCTAATTCCAACCCTGCCCGATAAGTTGACCTTCTGTACGGCTAATAAAATAATGGCCACGTCAGGTGAATGCAATTACCATCTCTCCAGATTTTCCAAAGTTAATTTGATCAGATAAAAAAAAATTAATGTGTATCTGTCAGATGGACACCTCTGGCGCTTTACGTCTGAAGAATCCAACAAACTTCCCGGACAAACCAAGATACGATCTTCACGTGTATGTGAACTCAGGCCCCGGCTCAACGTTTGTCAACTTCACCGTTTTCTCTGAGACCCGCTTACAATTTGTTAACTTCAACCATACATTGTTTGTTCGGGAACATTCGCCTGTGGTCAAGCTGACCACACTGTCGGCGTGCTGCACGTTCCCACAGCTGACCTACACCATCGTGAGCGGGAACAGCGACAACAGGGTGAGCATGGACAGCTACACTGGGAACATTTACAACAACGTCCCCTACGACAGGGAGCTGCAGGGGGTGTACAACTACGTGCTGGTGGCCACGTCCACTAGTGGTCAGTCGGCGACTGCCACACTGACCGTTAGCGTGCAGGACATCAACGACCACTGGCCAGAGTTTGATAGAAATATTTACGTCTTTAAAGTGGACGAAAGTTCGAGCGTGAATTCGGTCATAAGCCAAATCACAGCAACTGATAAGGACAGCAGGCAATATGCCCGACTGACCTATAACCTAACGGTTGGGACAGATTCAGCATCCTTTAGCATTGATGCGGGGACAGGTTCTCTGAGTCTGATACAAGGTTTAGATTACGAGGCTAAGACAACTTTGACGGTTGAAATCACGGCTGCAGATGGGGGTGTACCGCCAAAATCAGGAACAACAACTGTGGTTATTCAAGTACAAAATAAAGATGAATTTAATTCAACGTGGATTGCCCTTCCTGGGACATGCACCTGTAACCTAACGGAAGACGTTGCTTTAGGGACTTTAGTATACCAGGTCAACGCAACAGGCAAAGACATGGATGCCATCTTCACCTACAACATCACCAACGGCAACACCAAGAACGACTTTTTCATTGACCCCGCCTCCGGTAAAGTCTTTGTCAATAAATTCCTGGACAGGGAGCGGACGCCCAGCTACACGCTGACCATTGTAGCTGTCAATCAAAACGGTCGGTCAGTCACAGGAACGTTGACCGTCAACATCCAAGACGTCAACGATAACTACCCAAAGTTTTCACAAAATGTTTACGTGTATTCCTTCGCTCATGGGTACACTGGCCCTAATATCGGGACTCTAACTGTGACTGATGCGGATGAAGGTACCAACGCTGTCGTTATTGGTAAAATCTTAAGTGGAGACACCCAGTCACAGTTTGCCCTGAACAACAGTAGCCTGCAGCTGACAACAAGCCAGTCATTCGATTACTTGGGCATCAGAAGATTCACTCTGATCGTGGAGGCTGAAGACGGAGGCTCTCCAAAGCTGACATCCACAGCTGTTGTTGTCATTAATGTCACACCAGCTTCCACAGATGCCAAGTTTAACATTACTTCAGACAGCGTGACACTTCGAGAGGATGTGCTTGTTGGCACTCAAGTCTACGACTTCAATGCCACACTGCTGGGTGCTTTAGAAGATGGAACCATCAGCTACACAATGTCAGGTGGCGATGGAGAATTTCAAATACGGCCAAACACTGGTCAAGTTTACGTTGCTTCAGCCTTAGATTTTGAGAAGAAAAAAGAGTCCTATAATTTGATAGTTTTTGCTAGTGCCGTTAAAAAGAGGGCCTCATGTACGCTAATCGTAACCATCACCAATATCAATGACAATACTCCCAGTTTTCTATCCAATATTGTCGGTGTGACTCAGGAAACTTTTAGTTTTGTAGTTGATGAAAATGCAACCATAGACTTTGTCGTGGGGACGGTTTTGGCCACTGACGCTGACCGGGGCCCATTCGGTCTGGTCAGTGAGACCATGACTGGAACTTCAGACTTCGTCCTTGACCCAATGACTGGGGTCATCACGGTGAAGAACAAGCTGAACTACCTGAAGAAAAGTTACTACAACCTTCTGGTGACGGCCTCAGATGGAGGGACCCCAGCCAAGACAGCCAAGGCTTATGTCGTCATCAAGGTCAATGACGTCAATGACCACAGTCCAGATTTTGTGACCACATTAAACACGACTTTACTGGACTCCGTGCCAATAGGGTCAGAAGTCTTTAGGTTCTACGCCACTGACCTTGACACTGGGAATGCCGGAAACGTTTCTTACGTCATCAAATCGACCACAGGCCCTGGACTTTTCTCACTGGACGAGTCCACGGGTGTCTTGACCACAACAGATTTGCTGGACGCTGCCGTCACGTCATCCTACACGCTAACCATAACGGCGTCAGATCATGGTGTCCCGAGTCTAGCCACTGACCAGACGTTTACCATAACTCTGACCGCTACAAACCCCAACTACAACACCCCGATATTTTCTGCCCCAGATCCAGACACCTTCACCGTCCCCAGAACAGAACCCAAGGGAACGGTTGTCGGGACAAAGTCCGCCTCAGACAATGACCACGGCATCAGCGGTCAAATCCTCTACACGATCCTCTCAGGCAACGACGACGGTTATTTCTTGATGAACGAAACTTCCGGCGAGATTCGAACCTCGACCAGCATCCTGACGGCAGCTGACTCGTACACGTTCGTGCTGAGGGCCAAAGATCGGGGAACGCCCTCGAGGTCAAGCACCGCGACCGTTACGATCAACGTCACGCCGTCCCGTACTACGAACCCTGACCCTGACTACAGCTTTACGGTGGCCGAGGACAAACCTGCAGGCAGTGAGATCGGCAGGATCAAGGTTGACAGTCCCAGGGTACCTAGTGGATATACAATATTGGCTGGCAACTTGGGAGATTCTATTAAGGAAGTGTTTAACAACATCACAAAAGAAGGTCTCCTGACTGTCTCAGCACTAGACTGTGAGAAATACCCAGAATACAACCTGCTGGTGGAAGTGACCACAGACATCGGTCCGTTGACCAAAGTGGTCCAGGTCACAGTGACCGACGTCAACGACAACCCGCCAGTTTTTTCACAGACCGCTTACGTCATCAGTATCCCAGAAAACATGCCGGTTGGCTACACGGTGGAGACCATTATGTGGTCCGATGCTGACGTCACATCCGCCAACCGCAACAACAACTTGACCCTGACCCCACCTGGTGATACCTACTTTACCATAGACGCGTCAGGTCACCTGGTTATAAAGAAATCCCCTAACTATGAAGACACGTCTTCCATTTCTTTCCAAGTGGACGCCACAGATTTAAACGTCAACCCTCAACCGTCCGCCTCAGTGGGAGTCAGCATTAATTTGATTGACGTATTAGAAGAAGAAGAAACGCCCATTTCCAAGGTGACCAAGAATGCCATGATCTCCCTGGAATGTCCGTACCAAGCATCCAATGGTCACCTGGTCTACACGCTGACCCCAGGAGACTTTGGCATAGAAGCCTCACCTCTAGCCTATGTTTATTACTTCGCCTACAAAAGCTCCACAATACCATTCAGGTAAGTTGTCACGGCTTTTGTTTGAACCAAGAATATTTAAACCAAATTTACATATAAATGTATTCTTGTTTAAGGACCAGGGGCGTAGCGAGGGGGGGGGGGGCGGGGGGTGCGGAACGCACCGGGTGACACCATTTAGGGGGGTGACACCAAGGCAAAAAATAGCAAAATATATAGAGAAAAACTCGAGGGGGGGTGCAAATCGAAAACTTGAGGGGGGGGGGGGGTGCCAATCGAAAGTTTGAGGGGGGGGGTGTGCAAATCGAAAACTCGAGGGGGGGTGCAAATCGAAAGTTTGAGGGGGGGGGGTGCAAATCGAAAATTTGAAAGTTTGTCCCTGGGAAGGGTCTCTATGCCTCTGGGGGGGGTGACACCATTAAGTGCCGCACCGGGTGACACCCGACCTCGCTACGCCACTGTTAAGGACACTACATATAATATTGACGCATGTATTTCTCTTGTGTAATATCTATTTTATAATCTCCTCTATGTTGACATCTGTTTGTCATATTCTCCCCCGGCCCCCAGTGTGTCCAGCTCGACTGGTCAGATCACAGTGACCAGCTCCTCGTCTCTAGAGAACCAGGCCAAATATTTCCACTGGGTTTTGTGTCGCTCCACCATCGGCAGCGTCACCACCTCCAAGATCTCCCTCCTGCGGATTGATACATTCGACATGACGTCACAGATGGTGGTCATCGAGTTCGCAGAGAAATATTCCGACGTCGTAAACAGATTGTGAGTGCTTGCAGTAATGTCGTAAACCGCTTGTTAGTGCTTGCATTAAAGTCGTAAACAGATTGCAAGTGCTTGCATTAATGTCGTAAACAGATTGTAAGTGCTTGCATTAAAGTCGTAAACAGATTGCAAGTGCTTGCAGTAATGTCGTAAACAGATTGTAAGTGCCCCAATAACTGCCAATACCCTCTCATGTTCCACGCCCCAATAACTGCCAATCTCCTCTCATGTTCCAGGTCCACGCCCCAATAACTGCCAATCTCCTCTCATGTTCCAGGTCTACGCCCCAATAACTGCCAATCCCCTCTCATGGTCCACGCCCCAATAACTGCCAATCTCCTCTCATGTTCCAGGTCCACGCCCCAATAACTGCCAATCTCCTCTTATGGTCCACGCCCCAATAACTGCCAATCTCCTCTTATGTTCCACGCCCCAATAACTGCCAATCCCCTCTCATGTTTCAGGTCCACGCCCCAATAACTGCCAATCTTCTCTCATGTTCCAGGTCCACGCCCCAATAACTGCCAATACCCTCTCATGTTCCACGCCCCAATAACTGCCAATCTCCTCTCATGTTCCAGGTCCACGCCCCAATAACTGCCAATCTCCTCTCATGTTCCAGGTCCACGCCCCAATAACTGCCAATCTCCTCTCATGTTCCAGGTCCACGCCCCAATAACTGCCAATCTCCTCTCATGTTCCAGGTCCACGCCCCAATAACTGCCAATCTCCTCTCATGTTCCAGGTCCACGCCCCAATAACTGCCAATCTCCTCTTATGGTCCACGCCCCAATAACTGCCAATCCCCTCTCATGTTCCACGCCCCAATAACTGCCAATCCCCTCTCATGTTCCAGGTCCACGCCCCAATAACTGCCAATCTCCTCTCATGTTCCAGGTCCACGCCCCAATAACTGCCAATCTCCTCTCATGTTCCAGGTCCACGCCCCAATAACTGCCAATCCCCTCTCATGGTCCACGCCCCAATAACTGCCAATCTCCTCTCATGTTCCAGGTCCACGCCCCAATAACTGCCAATCTCCTCTTATGATCCACGCCCCAATAACTGCCAATCTCCTCTTATGTTCCACGCCCCAATAACTGCCAATCCCCTCTCATGTTCCAGGTCCACGCCCCAATAACTGCCAATCCCCTCTCATGTTCCAGGTCCACGCCCCAATAACTGCCAATCTCCTCTCATGTTCCAGGTCCACGCCCCAATAACTGCCAATCTCCTCTCATGTTCCAGGTCCACGCCCCAATAACTGCCAATCCCCTCTCATGTTCCACGCCCCAATAACTGCCAATCTCCTCTCATGTTCCAGGTCCACGCCCCAATAACTGCCAATCCCCTCTCATGTTCCAGGTCCACGCCCCAATAACTGCCAATCTTCTCTCATGTTCCAGGTCCACGCCCCAATAACTGCCAATCTTCTCTCATGTTCCAGGTCCACGCCCCAATAACTGCCAATCTTCTCTCATGTTCCAGGTCCACGCCCCAATAACTGCCAATCTCCTCTCATGTTCCAGGTCCACGCCCCAATAACTGCCAATCCCCTCTCATGGTCCACGCCCCAATAACTGCCAATCTCCTCTCATGTTCCAGGTCCACGCCCCAATAACTGCCAATCTCCTCTTATGGTCCACGCCCCAATAACTGCCAATCTCCTCTTATGTTCCAGGTCCACGCCCCAATAACTGCCAATCCCCTCTCATGTTCCACGCCCCAATAACTGCCAATCTCCTCTCATGTTCCAGGTCCACGCCCCAATAACTGCCAATCTCCTCTCATGTTCCAGGTCCACGCCCCAATAACTGCCAATCTCCTCTCATGTTCCAGGTCCACGCCCCAATAACTGCCAATCCCCTCTCATGGTCCACGCCCCAATAACTGCCAATCTCCTCTCATGTTCCAGGTCCACGCCCCAATAACTGCCAATCTCCTCTTATGTTCCAGGTCCACGCCCCAATAACTGCCAATCTCCTCTCATGTTCCAGGTCCACGCCCCAATAACTGCCAATCCCCTCTCATGGTCCACGCCCCAATAACTGCCAATCTCCTCTCATGTTCCAGGTCCACGCCCCAATAACTGCCAATCTCCTCTTATGGTCCACGCCCCAATAACTGCCAATCTCCTCTTATGTTCCACGCCCCAATAACTGCCAATCCCCTCTCATGTTCCAGGTCCACGCCCCAATAACTGCCAATCCCCTCTCATGTTCCAGGTCCACGCCCCAATAACTGCCAATCTCCTCTCATGTTCCAGGTCCACGCCCCAATAACTGCCAATCCCCTCTCATGTTCCAGGTCCACGCCCCAATAACTGCCAATCCCCTCTCATGTTCCAGGTCCACGCCCCAATAAATGCCAATCTCCTCTCATGTTCCAGGTCCACGCCCCAATAACTGCCAATCCCCTCTCATGTTCCAGGTCCACGCCCCAATAACTGCCAATCTCCTCTCATGTTCCAGGTCCACGCCCCAATAACTGCCAATCTCCTCTCATGTTCCAGGTCCACGCCCCAATAACTGCCAATCTTCTCTCATGTTCCAGGTCCACGCCCCAATAACTGCCAATCTTCTCTCATGTTCCAGGTCCACGCCCCGATAACTGCCAATCTTCTCTCATGTTCCAGGTCCACGCCCCAATAACTGCCAATCTTCTCTCATGTTCCAGGTCCACGCCCCAATAACTGCCAATCCCCTCTCATGGTCCACGCCCCAATAACTGCCAATCTCCTCTCATGTTCCAGGTCCACGCCCCAATAACTGCCAATCTCCTCTTATGTTCCACGCCCCAATAACTGCCAATCCCCTCTCATGTTCCACGCCCCAATAACTGCCAATCTCCTCTCATGTTCCAGGTCCACGCCCCAATAACTGCCAATCTCCTCTCATGTTCCAGGTCCACGCCCCAATAACTGCCAATCCCCTCTTATGTTCCACGCCCCAATAACTGCCAATCCCCTCTCATGTTCCAGGTCCACGCCCCAATAACTGCCAATCTTCTCTCATGTTCCAGGTCCACGCCCCAATAACTGCCAATCCCCTCTCATGTTCCACGCCCCAATAACTGCCAATCTCCTCTCATGTTCCACGCCCCAATAACTGCCAATCCCCTCTTATGTTCCACGCCCCAATAACTGCCAATCCCCTCTTATGTTCCACGCCCTAATAACTGCCAATCCCCTCTCATGTTCCAGGTCCACGCCCCAATAACTGCCAATCTTCTCTCATGTTCCAGGTCCACGCCCCAATAACTGCCAATCTCCTCTCATGTTCCAGGTCCACGCCCCAATAACTGCCAATCCCCTCTCATGTTCCACGCCCCAATAACTGCCAATCTCCTCTCATGTTCCAGGTCCACGCCCCAATAACTGCCAATCCCCTCTCATGTTCCACGCCCCAATAACTGCCAATCTCCTCTCATGTTCCAGGTCCACGCCCCAATAACTGCCAATCTTCTCTTATGGTCCACGCCCCAATAACTGCCAATCTCCTCTCATGTTCCAGGTCCACGTCCCAATAACTGCCAATCCCCTCTCATGTTCCACGCCCCAATAACTGCCAATCCCCTCTCATGGTCCACGCCCCAATAACTGCCAATCTCCTCTCATGTTCCAGGTCCACGCCCCAATAACTGCCAATCTCCTCTTATGTTCCACGCCCCAATAACTGCCAATCCCCTCTCATGTTCCAGGTCCACGCCCCAATAACTGCCAATCTTCTCTCATGTTCCAGGTCCACGCCCCAATAACTGCCAATCCCCTCTCATGTTCCACGCTCCAATAACTGCCAATCTTCTCTCATGTTCCAGGTCCACGCCCCAATAACTGCCAATCTCCTCTCATGTTCCAGGTCCACGCCCCAATAACTGCCAATCTCCTCTTATGTTCCACGCCCCAATAACTGCCAATCCCCTCTCATGTTCCAGGTCCACGCCCCAATAACTGCCAATCTTCTCTCATGTTCCAGGTCCACGCCCCAATAACTGCCAATCCCCTCTCATGTTCCACGCTCCAATAACTGCCAATCTTCTCTCATGTTCCAGGTCCACGCCCCAATAACTGCCAATCCCCTCTCATGTTCCAGGCCCCAATAACTGCCAATCCCCTCTCATGGTCCACGCCCCAATAACTGCCAATCTCCTCTCATGTTCCACGCCCCAATAACTGCCAATCCCCTCTCATGTTCCAGGTCCACGCCCCAATAACTGCCAATCCCCTCTCATGTTCCACGCCCCAATAACTGCCAATCCCCTCTCATGTTCCACGCCCCAATAACTGCCAATCTTCTCTCATGTTCCAGGTCCACGCCCCAATAACTGCCAATCCCCTCTCATGTTCCAGGCCCCAATAACTGCCAATCCCCTCTCATGTTCCAGGTCCACGCCCCAATAACTGCCAATCTCCTCTCATGTTCCAGGTCCACGCCCCAATAACTGCCAATCTCCTCTCATGTTCCAGGTCCACGCCCCAATAACTGCCAATCCCCTCTCATGTTCCACGCCCCAATAACTGCCAATCCCCTCTCATGTTCCAGGTCCACGCCCCAATAACTGCCAATCCCCTCTCATGTTCCACGCCCCAATAACTGCCAATCCCCTCTCATGTTCCAGGTCCACGCCCCAATAACTGCCAATCTTCTCTCATGTTCCAGGTCCACGCCCCAATAACTGCCAATCTCCTCTCATGTTCCAGGTCCACGCCCCAATAACTGCCAATCCCCTCTCATGTTCCACGCCCCAATAACTGCCAATCTTCTCTCATGTTCCAGGTCCACGCCCCAATAACTGCCAATCCCCTCTCATGTTCCAGGTCCACGCCCCAATAACTGCCAATCCCCTCTCATGTTCCACGCCCCAATAACTGCCAATCTCCTCTCATGGTCCACGTCCCAATAACTGCCAATCTCCTCTCATGTTCCAGGTCCACGCCCCAATAACTGCCAATCTTCTCTCATGTTCCAGGTCCACGCCCCAATAACTGCCAATCCCCTCTC